CTCGTTCATACTGGAACATATCAAATTATGGTGAACGGAGTTATCTGGTAATATTTGTTTTGTTTATGGCTAGAATTTAGAATGGAATCAATGTGATGAGGATCCAGAGTTACTTACCTGCTAGGATTAATAAGTCAGGTCTACAGTTGAAGAGACCCTTTTTCAAACTTTTAATGAAGAAATATCCACTGTGCCTATGGTAGTGTCAAGTATATTCATTATTCTGAGAAAGTCGACTTATTCGATGAGTCGACTGTAGCCAGGAATAGTACCTTGAGATTTCGACCATTACCGGACCTCCTTTAATGGTAACCATGGTAACTATAGTAACCACTGTGAATCTTGATCTTATAAACCGATTAATATCGACAACAACTAGTATCCTTTAAGACTTAGTCTTAGACAGTACAGAAAAGTAAGCCGTCAGAGTAACACAACCAGTAATAATTCAAAACAATCAATACCAAAAGTTCAATGACCATGAAAAGTCGGCTTGATGATGAAGACGAAAAGGCCAGCAAGTTAAAGAATAGTATGATGGGGCCGTTGCGCGCGACCGAATATGTAGTGCTGAAAGAGGGTGCCGAAATCTCGCAGCTAGACTCGCGATATTGGGGTGAGATTTATACTAAACTCGTCAAAATCTCGCACTAATTGCGCGGCTCAAATTTGTTATACTTTAACCACGTGATCTCACACCGCACTAAGTTCCGAATTCACAAAATATAAAGTACATTTTTGTGTCGCTTAAAACTTTTAAATTACATTTTTTCTATTTTCTCACACATTTTGTTGTTAGTTTTTTTTTCTGTGTTTATTTTAAGATTTTGTGCGATGAGCCTGTCTCGCCATCTCGCATGAATCTTGACCTGGGCACTAGATTCTCTTCTCCTCCGAAAGCATAAACTTTGTCAGTTTCAGTATCGATCTTCATCTTCATCTTTTTCATGGACTCTCTAGACAGTAACAGAGGAATATCATTTTCCACAATAAACACGTTTAAAGTTACTTTCTGACCACATATTGTTACTGGGAGTGCTTTTTGTATCCTGGCTGTAACTGCATCTCCATCCCCGAAACAAAAATTCTTCTCACAAGGAGTCACTTTGACCTCTTCATGTTCAGCTGATGTGAGAGATTCCTCGAAGACTGTCAGCCATTTCTTTCCACACACTGTGGAGCTAGCACCTGTATCTAAAAGTGCTTTATTTGTCGCTTCTCCCATAAGGTACGTGATACACTTGTTTTCATCTTTTAGTTTAAAGTCAGACTCAAAGAATGTAAGCTTCTTCTCTCCAAATGTGTTGTACTTACAGTCTCTCATCATATGGTCTGTTTCCTTACAAATATGACAACGTAAGGGTCCTGATTGTTGGGCTTGTGCTCCTCGTCTGGATCTAAATGGAGCTTGTTGATACACGTTTCCTGAACTCTGTCCTTGAAACGCAGGTCTTTGTCCGAAGGGTCTTTGTCCGAAAGGTCTCTTAGATGAATAAAAATCCCTGTGTTGGTGGTATCTTTGTTGATAAAAAACTTTCTGAGGGTCTTCCTCCTGGTTGCTCTGGTCCTCACCAAAATGTTCTGAATTGTTGATGTCGTACTGTTGAAAATAAGTATTTACAGGCTCTTCTTTAATCTTTGGTTTTCCGATGGAATATGTTTCATCGCTTGCGCCGCTTGCGCTTGATGAAGAAGAAGATGTATTAGTATAATCTTCTCCGTATGCTCTCTTAAGCTGGGATTCCATATTCTCGTAGCTTAACTTAGAGACCGTTGCCCTGATTAACGTCTTTTGATGGTCCGAGAGATTAGCATGATGTAATAAGAAGTACGCTAGTACTCCATCTTCAAATACCACAGTAGCACCACGCTTCTGCACAAGGCTCTTGTAACGATGGCTAAATTCTCTCACATACTCTTCCATGGGCACTTCCTTGGGTCTTCTGTAGTTCATGAAGCTGTCAATGGACGTAAAGACTGACTGAGTCTGGTCTTTTTCATATAACTTGTCCAGCTCAGCAATGAGAACATCTATTCCTCCTGCTTTGGACAATTCTTCCACGTCCAGCTGTATAGCAACAGCTTCTAGTTTTCCAGACATATTCATGATTAATGCAGCTGCTCCTGCCTCAGGCTTGATGGTGGTCACCTTCTTCCACCACTGAACTCTCCGTTTCCAATCTGTATAGTTGGCCTTCTCATCAAGAACAGGTACTTTATCACCTCCCATGATGAAAACTGAAATCTAGTGTTAGGTGTTAAGTGTTAGTTAAAATATACAAAAAATAAATACGGTCCGGTGTAACGTCGTTCTTCCTGCTACCACTGTTGGAACCCTGTTCTTGGGTTAATTAAATAACAAATAATACTCAATTATTATAAATACAAATTAGATGAATAAAGAGGTTATACAAATCTTGTGTCAAAAGTAACCTTGTTACTCTACAATGTACTCTCTTAAATAGTGAATGATTGATATGGTGTGACTCAGTAACTCACACTACTCTGCTCTGACTAATAGTTAAAAACACATTTCAATACTAAACTAAACAATGTCTTTTTTACTATTAGATTAAACTACTATTAAATTAAAACTACTACTCCTGATGATGATGTTCTTCTTACTATATGAGGGACTTCTGAATGATGAGGACTTCAAGTAAAACTGGAACTGATAACTATAAAACAAAACCCTGGGGGAAAACTACCGTGAGTAAAGTGAAAGGTAATCCACGTGAAACTATAAATGAAAGTGAAAGAGGAAGCGGGAACTCCTAGACTAAACTACTAAACTATAACTATAAACTACTTACCACTCTTTCCACGTCACAGAACACAGATAGTATCTGTCGACTGGAATCTGTGGGATCACTAAAACAACGTCACTCCTCTCCCTTCTGCTACGCTAGAGTCTGGAGTCGACAACGTCACTCCTCTCCCTTCTGCTACGCTAGAGTCTGGAGTCAACTAAACACTGGACACTCCTCTCTCTTCTGTTACTTCAACTAGAGTCTGGAGTCGAGCCTTGTCTGCCTTCTGGAGTCCCTTTACCCCAACACTGTATATACAATCACTGGAACTAAACCTTTGCTAAAGTGAGATACAGGGTTAGTAATATGAAGTACAAAAACAAGCTACAAATAGAATTAAGATTCTAACACTTCTTACCGTCCCACCGGGAAGCTTTCTCTTCCTACCAGGAAGCTTCCTGCCATCCCACCGGGAAGCTTCCTTTCATCTCACCTGGAAGCTTTCTCTTATATTACAACCAGGAAGCTTCCTCCTTTCCCACAGGGAAGTTTCGTGCATTTCTACAGGAAAGCTTACTTTTTTCCCACTGTGAAGCAAGCCCTTCTATCAACAAATTATCATCAAAATTTCTATAAACAACTTTTTTTTTTAATCAATTTTTTTCGAGCGTGCTAAATCACTCTATGATCGATCTTCGAGATTTTTCTAAAAGGGTCCCTGACAGCTACAGTTGAAACCAACTTGAATCGATGTATTTTTGAACGCTGAATGACATAGGGTTAAAATGCTCCCCTGGTGAGATATTGGCGAAAAACTATCTTGATCACGTGATATGACTACACAAGGAAGTTGGTATAATTTCTCGTTAGGGTTTGGGTTTCAGCATATGCTTTTGTTAGGTATATGGTTAGGGTTAAGGTTGGGATTAGATTAGATGGTTAGGGTTTCGAATAGTCATTCAAGGCCACCTAGAGAACGGGTTAAAAAAGTCACGTGATAGTCGAGTGTAGAGTGATTAATCATCATCCAACTTTCCCCTGAAGTGTACCCACTTTTGAAAGGTAAGAACTATTGTCAAAACTATTGTCCTCAGCAGGCTTGGAGAGAAAGTATGATGGCCTCAAAATTTGTTCGAATTAGCAATCTGTATTATAATTCGAAAGATTATGTTTGTAAGGAAAACAAAATTTAAGGAAAACAACATAATTTAAATTTTGTTTGCCATGCATGTTTGTTGCCATTTATGTATGTATATGATATGACCGCCCACGTTCAAATTAGGTTGCATAGCATCGAGGATGGAAAGTGCACGTGTAATGTTTGTTGTATTACATAATAATCGGTTGTATCTTTGGTTGGGATGGATATTTTTTGATGCAATTAAAACTCCTCCCTGTTAGGAAAACAAATTTTTTAAAAGGAAAACAAATTTAAATTTTGGTATTTATTAATAACAATCAAAACATATCATATCATTTTAAAAAAACTGCACGTTGGTTGACTGCCTCAGTAAGGTGAATAATTTAAGCTTGAAGGTGCCCTGCGCATTTACAGAACCTCATGCGGCGATCACATGATCATGAGGACCTGAGAGCACCAAATTTATTTTAAAGTTTCTAGAAATCATACGAGTTACTCATGCTTTTTTTTATAGGAGTGCAGATTGTCAGGTATTTCATTCATTTATACTTAGTCGGTTCAAAGCTGTATATTTAGAACTCACTATTGTTTAAACTATTAAAGCAGAACGTAGATAATGGACAATATACCGATGACAATACCAAGGACCCGAGTGCCGCATTGACTTTTCCGGATCCGTTTTTACCGAAGGCTTATCCACCAGTTACTCATGCTGCATGTATTGTCTGATAATATTTATTTGTTTTATTCTCTAGCAAGCATTCTGTAAATTGGAGTGTCGTATTTATTATAAAAGAGCCAGCCAACCTCCGCATTATAATCTTTTGTGTGCCAAGTGCGTTACCACAGGTTTTCTAGTAACATTATAATTTGGATCTTAAGCTTACTGCAGATCAAATGATAATTGCGAATTTGAATTAAAACCAATGAGCAGGGCCAGGGGTGTCCTAAAAATTCACTATTTCATTAGAAGTCTAATAAGTTGTGACTGAAAAATATATGTACACAAGTCGATAGGTAAAATAGACAAACAATTCCTATGCTGATATATTATGCATATAATGTAAATACTATATATAATACGGATTGAGTTAATTTTAAGTATCTGCTTATTTAGTGAGGTAGAAATAGAGATGAAAGATGTCTCTCAAGGCGATGCCGATTTGGATGTACCATGGTATTCAAGACGATTACCAGTTCAACGATGTTGCCAAGCCTGAAAACCTCACCAGACTTCCACCTCTCAATGAACAAGAGGTCATTGCAAGAATTGTGATTCACTTTGTTGTGTATTGTATAAAGATAACTGTTGTATTACTCAATGTTTTTAAAATTATTTCAGCCTTATCAAATATTTTGACAGTTTGACAAAATCATCCATTTCAGGACACCCCTTACATTCCATGCATCCTTCACACTAGTTCCTGGACTAAAGCTGCTCCTTTTAAAGAAGGAAAACATTCCAGGGGAACCAGGTGATTTGCAAGAAATCCACAAATTTGAGAGTTTAATAACATCTTATTATTTACCTAATATTTCTTCCCCTTTTAAAATCAAACTATTCTTCAACCCTTTAACAATTTCAGTAACCGGATTGCTAACAACTACACCCCATCATCCAAAGGACTGCGTATACACAGTCTAAAACAACCCTATGTCCCTGAAAGAGCACCACCGTCGCCTCGAAAGCGACAGAAGATCACTCGGAGTAAAACCGCTGGTCCCAGATTGGTGAAAACAAGATCCAGTACAGAGCCTGAGCTGTCAGTCAGGGAATTTTGTCCACAGACAAAAGCTGCCTTAGCTGTTGAGTTCCCACCATACACTACACCTACCTTTGGGCTACCCAGATCTGCTGATCCAATTGAGCCTTGTCTTGGCAGGTAAACAGAAACATCTTTTAAATTCGTAATTTTAATGATTATACAGAGTCAAAACTATTCGATAATCCTTTTCTAAACCGGTATTTCGTGAAAATAGAATTTGAAAGTAAATTAAATTGCCAGGTACTATGACCTGATTGAAGTAGGTCTACCTAACGACATGGTGGCTCCTCTCTCACAAGACTGGGTCCATGCTGCTTACACTATGATTCCACCCCACCTCATTACCAACTTCCCTGATGTTAGTTGTAATAATATAGTACTATAAAAACTACAAATACTACAAATACTACTAAAACTGATGTGACTTATTTCTTGATTTGTTCGTCCTGCCAATTATAGAAATAGTTGCAAAGACACAACAATGTTATTTTACCGACTCAATAGTATAGCGTTCTGATAAGTATTAAATTAGTGTTTCAGCGACAACTAACTAAAGTTACATATTGCAGACAGTGTCGAAGTTAAACATAGAGATGAAGGAGGGGTATGTAGACAGTTTGAAACAAGCAATACTGGACTACATACTGCTGGATACAAACGAGCAGGCCAGGTTGGGGGTGACATTGCCAGAGCAGGTACATTTTCCTCTGTTCCTTGTGTAGTTTATCTAACAAGTTAATAAAATTGTATCATAGATCTTATCATATCGGATAGTTCGAAATTGTTAATATAAAGTAATTCTAATTGTTATTATCGATTAAGATATTCACACTCGAATTGTCAGGTAAAGTAAGGTTTTTCCTGGTTTAATACAGATTTTAGTATAGCGACTAATAAATCATATTACTATTTAGTAAAATTACTTTTGACTATGACAGGAGATAAAAAGTGCTGGACGAGAGTATTTTCCTTGGCACGAGAGAGTGGTGAGTGCCCGGGGTTTTCTGGAGAAATCGCTCCACTCTACTCACCCCATCATGCTGGACCTCCTCGAGTATTGGAGTCAGAAAATGAGTGATTTTAATCTCATAAAGGTGGAGGAAATCAGAGAAGCTTTGCCGCTTACTATAGGTTTGTCAATATTATAACACTATATTGAACACGTCTATGCTGTCATGATGATGTGGCAACTTCAAAGCAAATACTTGACTTGGTCACTATGAACCTCTCCTTCTGACAGCACCATATCTGCAACTCAATGTCATGTGTCAAAATAAATAATCTCCCCACTAGTAACGACGTCAATATATTCGCTCAAATTATTGTTTTAGAAAACTCATAACAGCTGTTAATAATGAACTCAATATTCACGATTTATGACCGGCAGAGCAAATCCAAGCGATGGTAGCGGCGCAGAGCAAAGCTGGAGCAGAGTTATTGGAGAAGGAATGGGTGGTTGAGTGTGTGGAGATGATTAAGAATCAGCAGTCCAGTATTGAGTCTATAGTTCCCCAAGACGAGGTACGGCCTTCAGTTTTCGTTCAGATTTATTATAATTTAAACTATTCTCGTTTTAAAGTGATAAATTTACCTACGTAGTGTACGGAGCTCTGGATATAAGTCCCTATAAAATGAACTCTAGTCCCTACTAATTGAGAATATATGTACTTCAAATAATTATCTAACAAAACCATTGTTCAAATCTAAGCAAAACAAATTTCAGAACGGCCGAAGATTGGCGATGGAGCACTTCTTTAGTGCAATAGCCACAGTTATGTCTAACCAGCTGCGTGGTGCAGTACAGAAGGCTCTAAATGATTTCATCGGCTTGTTGGAAGTGTATCGGAATGGTAACACTTACACTGGCGAATACGAGAGAGGATTACCTACTCTCAAAAACGCGATTGTAATTGGCTTGGTGAGTTGGGAGGTTGACTAAGCACAACAAATTTCTGAAGTTATTTTGCTCAAATCTGTCACTCAACTAATCGGCAACCTCGATCATGACAGTATCATGCCTTAAATCCTCTGAAAGAAACGTTAACCTCAATTAAGGGGGCAGGGGGGGTCTTTATGAAATTTCTCTCGAAATTGATTTTATAGTTGTTTCTGATAGAGGGGAGTGATATCTACCAGATGTTTTTGGTCCCATGAAAAAATTTTGTTCCTAGCCGAAATTATTGCCTGTCAAAGGTCAGCGCTCATGTGTAATTGTATTGCGCGAGCGATTTTCAATCGCGCGCCCTGAAAATCGAGTCTAAAAATCTATCTTCTCCTACATTTTTTGAAAATCTTGGACCTCGTTTTTTGACGATTTTTTCAGGTCCAAGATTTTCAAAATCGAATAAAAACTTTTCTAAGGCCTATCTTAAAATTCTGATAGACCAGAAGTTTCTAAATGGTCCTTAGAACATATCCTGAAAGTTTCAAGGTGATTGCTCAAAAAATGTAGGAGAAGATAGATTTTTAGACTCGATTTTCAGGGCGCGTGATTGAAAATCGCTCGCGCAATACAATTACACATGAGCGCTGACCTTTGACCGGCAATAATTTCGGCTAGGAACAAAATTTTTCCATGGGACCAAAAATATCTGGTAGATATCACTCCCCTCTATCAGAAACAACTATAAAATTAATTTCGAGAGAAATTTCATAAAGACCCCCCCCCCCCTGCCCCCTTAAGATGCACAGTATTGGTCTATAATTTAAGAATAGATGGATAATCTTAGCACCATCTTCCAGGAACCGAACCAGAGCTCAGCATCTGTTCAGTTTGAACCAAGTTTTACAGACGTGTCAGCTGCTCTAGTGAACTGTTTAGCTATAATTGTTCTAAGTGTGGAGAAAATACCACGTGTAGAGAGCAAGCTGTTTATGGACAAAGATTCTGAAGAGTATGTTTAATTTACACTTTACTCTATTAGAGTTTAATTTTAATAAGTAAATTATCAAAGAAAATAAACTATTACGGCTTGACTGTGTAAATGTCACGTTGTTCCATAATGTTATAAGAGTGGAATGCCACCAGGCGTCATCTTTATGTCCTCCATAATATGGGACCGTTCAGAAGCTGCATAGTGACCATATTAGATACAAGAGAAACGCCACTTTAGGTCGCGACGAGAATTAGGACACAAATCGTACACACGATGACTTGTACAAAACAGCATTTGTTCGAAAAACTGACCAACATCAAGAACCTTTTATTATATAATAGAAAACAACTTTAATTAATTGGAAAAGGGCTCTGGAAATATATAATTGCTAATCAAGTCCCAGGTTTATAAGCTCGACCGGAACTGGTGACGACTGTGTTCTTGAGATTGTAAAGCGAGTGGAGGCTATAGTGGAGGTGAACATGCCCGGACCTATGAGTTACCGGTCAGTTTACAAGACTTACCAGCACTTACTGACACAGGAGGCTGAGAATAATACTGACCAGTTTCTCAGAGGAGAACACGATCTGTTGGAGTATCAGCAGGTTTGAACTATCCGTTAATTTGAATTATCCGTTAATTTTACTCGCTGTCAGTTTGTATCGTATATCATATGTTGTAAAATGATCTAAATGATCATAACATACAGTACTATCCTCAAGTGCTATCTCATTATATTATACTTTGAAAACAATAACAGTCCCACTTCATCAGGCTATCGAGAAACACAAATCTCTGACAGACAAAGTAATGAAACTTATTGTTATTGTTCCTATGCACGCCTTCGAACTGAACTGTTCCAAGATGAACAAGGTGAGTTAAAGATAAGAGAAAAATTTACATCAAAATATCTACCATCACTGGGGGGGGGGGTGTCACGTCCGTCTATGTCCGCTTGTCTCATAGAATCCAAAAAGGACAGGACATAGGCGGACATAGACGGACATAGGCGGACATAGGCGGACATAGGCGGACATAGACGGACATAGGCGGACATAGGCGGACATTTATGGACACCTAAATTGCTAAATAAAATGTTCAATTTTTGCTGTTATAGGGGGATCATGTTTTTTGTCCGTTCGGTACCCTATATTTTCAAAACGGACAAAAAATAGAGCGGACAAAAACGGACAAAAATGGAAATAACATTTAGATGCTTCCTCCTCCTACTCTTCCTCCTCCTCCCCCTGGGTCTTCCTGATCTTCCTCAGTCCTCTTCCTCCTCCCCTCCTCAGTCCTCCTCCTACTCCTCCTCCTCGTCCTCAGTCCTCCTCATCAGTCCTCAACAGTCCTCCTCCTCCCCAGTCCTCCTCCTCCTCCTGAGTCCTCCTCCTGGGTCCTCCTCCTGGGTCCTCCTCCTCCTCTTCATCCTCCTCCTCTTCCTCCTCAGTCCTCAGTCCTCCTCCTCATCCTTCTCCTCAGTCCTCCATCCTCCTCCTCAGTCCTCCCCCAGTCCCCCTCCTCCTCCTCCTATTCAGTCCTCCTCCTCCTCCTTCTCAGTCCTCCTCAGTCCTCCTCCTCCTCCTTCTCAGTCCTCCTCAGTCCTCCTCCTCCTCCTCTTCCCTCTCAGTCATCCTCCTCAGCCATCCTCCTCAGTCCTCCTCCTCCTGGGTCCTCCTCCTCCTCTTCATCCTCCTCCTCTTCCTACTCGGTCCTCAGTCCTCCTCCCCCTGGGTCCTCCTCCTCATCCTTCTCATCAGTCCTCCTCCTCCCCAGTCCTCTCCCAGTCCCCCTCCTCCTCCTCCTCCTATTCAGTCCTCCTCCTCCTCCTCCTCAGTTCTCCTTAGTCCTCCTTCTCATTTCTCCTAAGTCCTCCTCCTGAGTCCTCCTCCTCTTCCTTCTGAGTCCTCCTCCTGAGTCCTCCTCCTCCTCCCTCTCAGTCATCCTCCTCAGTCATCCTCCTCAGCCATCCTCCTCAGCCATCCTCCTCAGTACTCCTCAGTCCTCCTCCTTCTCAGTCATCGTCAGTCCTCCTCCTCAGTCCTCCTCAGTCCTCCTCCTCCTGGGTCCTCCTCCTCCTCCTGGGTCCTCCAGCCTCCTGGGTCTTCCTGATCCTCCCCAGTCCTCTTCCTCCTCCCCTCCTCAGTCCTCCTCCTACTCTTCCTCCTCGTCCTCAGTCCTCCTCATCAGTCCTCAACAGTTCTCCTCCTCCCCAGTCCTCCTCCTCCTCCTGGGGCCTTTTCCTGGGTCCTCCTCCTGGGGCCTTTTCCTGGGTCCTCCTCCTGGGTCCTCCTTCTCCTGCTCAGTCCTTCTCCTCCTCAGTCCTCTTCTTCCTCTTCCTCCTCCTCCTCCCTCTCAGCCATCCTCCTCAGCCATCCTCTTCAGCCATCCTCCTCAGCCATCCTCCTCAGTCCTCCTCCTTCTCAGTCCTCGTCAGTCGTCCTCCTGAGTCCTCCTCCTCCTCAGTCATCCTCCTGAGTTCTCCTCCTCCTCCTCCTCCTCCTCCTAGGTCCTCCTTCTGGGTCCTCCTCCTCCTCCTCCTCCTGGGTCTTCCTGATCCTTCTCCTCCCTCTCAGTCATCCTCCTCAGCCATCCTCCTCAGCCATCCTTCTCAGCCATCCTCCTCAGTCCTCCTCAGTCCTCCTCCTCCTCCTGGGTCCTCCTCCTCCTCCTCCTCCTGGGTCCTCCAGCCTCCTGGGTCTTCCTGATCCTCCCCAGTCCTCTTCCTCCTCCCCTCCTCAGTCCTCCTCCTACTCTTCCTCCTCGTCCTCAGTCCTCCTCATCAGTCCTCAACAGTTCTCCTCCTCCCCAGTCCTCCTCCTCCTCCTGGGGCCTTTTCCTGGGTCCTCCTTCTGGGTCCTCCTCCTCCTGGGTCCTCCTCCTCCTGGGTCCTCCTCCTCCTGGGTCCTCCTTCTCCTGCTCAGTCCTTCTCCTCCTCCTCCTCAGTCCTCTTCTTCCTCTTCCTCCTCCTCCTCCCTCTCAGCCATCCTCCTCAGCCATCCTCTTCAGCCATCCCCCTCAGCCATCCTCCTCAGTCCTCCTCCTTCTCAGTCCTCGTCAGTCCTCCTCCTGAGTCCTTTTCCTCCTCAGTCATCCTCCTGAGTTCTCCTCCTCCTCCTCCTCCTCCTCCTCCTAGGTCCTCCTTCTGGGTCCTCCTCCTCCTCCTCCTCCTGGGTTTTCCTGATCCTTCTCCTCCCTCTCAGTCATCCTCCTCAGTCATCCTCCTCAGCCATCCTCCTCAGCCATCCTTCTCAGCCATCCTCCTCAGTCCTCCTCAGTCCTCCTCCTCCTCCTGGGTCCTCCTCCTCCTCCTCCTCCTGGGTCCTCCAGCCTCCTGGGTCTTCCTGATCCTCCCCAGTCCTCTTCCTCCTCCCCTCCTCAGTCCTCCTCCTACTCTTCCTCCTCGTCCTCAGTCCTCCTCATCAGTCCTCAACAGTTCTCCTCCTCCCCAGTCCTCCTCCTCCTCCTGGGGCCTTTTCCTGGGTCCTCCTCCTGGGTCCTCCTCCTCCTGGGTCCTCCTTCTCCTCCTCAGTCCTTCTCCTCCTCCTCCTCAGTCCTCTTCTTCCTCTTCCTCCTCCTCCTCCCTCTCAGCCATCCTCCTCAGCCATCCTCTTCAGCCATCCTCCTCAGCCATCCTCCTCAGTCCTCCTCCTTCTCAGTCCTCGTCAGTCCTCCTCCTGAGTCCTCCTCCTCCTCAGTCATCCTCCTGAAATCTCCTCCTCCTCCTCCTCCTCTTCCTCCTAGGTCCTCCTTCTGGGTCCTCCTCCTCCTCCTGGGTCTTCCTGATCCTTCTCCTCCCTCTCAGTCATCCTCCTCAGTCATCCTCCTCAGCCATCCTCCTGAGCCATCCTTCTCAGCCATCCTCCTCAGTCCTCCTCAGTCCTCCTCCTCCTCCTGGGTCCTCCTCCTCCTCCTGGGTCCTCCAGCCTCCTGGGTCTTCCTGATCCTCCCCAGTCCTCTTCCTCCTCCCCTCCTCAGTCCTCCTCCTACTCTTCCTCCTCGTCCTCAGTCCTCCTCATCAGTCCTCAACAGTTCTCCTCCTCCCCAGTCCTCCTCCTCCTCCTGGGGCCTTTTCCTGGGTCCTCCTCCTGGGTCCTCCTCCTCCTGGGTCCTCCTTCTCCTCCTCAGTCCTTCTCCTCCTCCTCCTCAGTCCTCTTCTTCCTCTTCCTCCTCCTCCTCCCTCTCAGCCATCCTCCTCAGCCATCCTCCTCAGCCATCCTCCTCAGTCCTCCTCCTTCTCAGTCCTCCTCAGTCCTCCTCCTGAGTCATCCTCTTCCTGAGTCATCCTCCTCCTGAGTCATCCTCCTCAGTTCTCCTCCTCCTCCTCCTCCTCCTAGGTCCTCCTTCTGGGTCCTCCTCCTCCTCCTCCTCCTGGGTCTTCCTGATCCTTCTCCTCCCTCTCAGTCATCCTCCTCAGTCATCCTCCTCAGTCATCCTCCTCAGCCATCCTACTCAGCCATCCTTCTCAGCCATCCTCCTCAGTACTCTTCAGTACTCTTCAGTACTCTTCAGTCCTCAAAATGTTTGTCTGCTAATGTCCACCAATGTCCGCTAATGTCCATCCAAGTCCGCCAATGTCCGTCCGGGTCCGCCAATGTCCGTCCGAGTCCGCCAATGTCCGTCCGAGTCCGCCAATGTCCGTCCGAGTCCGCCAATGTCCGTCCGTGTCCGCCAATGTCCCAAAAAACACGTCCGTTGTCTCATAGAATCCAAAAAGGACAGGACATAGGCGGACATAGACGGACATGACACCCCCCCATCACTTTTTGAATTTGTTACGAGTTGTACGAAATATGTTTTGGTCGCTATCAATTAATTATCTCCCCAATTATCTCCCTGGTACATCCCTCAGTTTCTGTGTGACAGGAGTAACATGCTGAGCAACATGATTCTCAGAGACATTGTGTTCCGATCCCGGACAGTCAACAAGAACATCTGTGAGCAGTATGACAGTATCGTGACTAGGATCACTACCATCCCTGATAGTACTGAGGATCTGGTTGCCTTGATGAAGTTCCTGGAGAAGTTAGAGTTGAAGGAACTTCAGGATCTTAAGGTGAGATATACTCGATACAGAACAGGAATGCAGGGTGGTAGTTTTAGTGAACAATCAATTGTATATCTAACAGATTTGAGTGGGGTGGACTGAAAAATGTCCTTTGATTTCATTGAATGTCCAAATTTAGAGTTGATAAAGCTGCTAGAAAATGTTATGTAATACATGTACATCATATTCATTGCGCGGCTAATACATGTTATCATTTAACTTGGCAAACCTTGTTCAGTTCAACCTGTTATTGAGATGACATGAGTATCAATATTGAGCACAGTTATACTTTTATTTTTATTTCACACTATTAATGAACTTATTGTTACACATGTACAAGTAAGCCTAAAGCACCCTCACTCTAATTCAACTCTAACCTTAGAGTTTTGCTTTAGTGGTCTGGCTTCTTGGATACTGTTAACTTATTAAGGGATTTTACTGCAATGTGATAAATAAACGGAATTACACAACATAAAACTTTATTAATTCCTCAGAATCAACTGATCCCAGCTGCAGAGAACCTCATGTTTCTGCTTGATTACGCGACACTACCAGAGGAGGATATCAAACTAAATGATACGACCTTCTCGTGGCCGGACAGGATACTGCCAATCATTAGTTACAGTGAAATGAGACTCAGAAAGAAGAACGAACAGGTACGAACAAGTACCAGGTACCAGGTACCAGGCCAGACCCTCCTCAAGTGGGGCGGCATTGTCATCGACAAACATCAAAGTTGATATATTCGTGCCATTCTCCAACAGTTAATTCAAATACCGACCTCTGAAAATAATCCCAGGCAACAGATAACTTATCCGGCTGGAAGAAGGAGTTCCAGGAGAGAGTTAACAAAGCTGTGGAAGATACTGACGCCTTCAGAACCAAGGACAGGCTAACAGAGGCTCCTACTTATGTAGAGCAGCTGAAGGAGCTGGGAGAGAGGCTGGCTGCGTATGCTACTGAGCGAGATACTATCAACAGAGAGGAGGTACGAACTAATATCATCTTCATTACAAATACACGTCATGACTGGTTAAAGTGACTTATTTCATCATTATGTAGTAAACTGTAAAGTAGACTGTTTTATCAATAAAACTATTTGTCCAGGAGCTGCTGGAGGTACCCGAACCCACGCAATACCCTCAAATAGCAGAGAGCATGTTGATGAAGGAGCCATTTGATAAGCTGTGGAACACTGCTGTAAGGTTCCAAGAGCGGTATGATACTTGGACTAAGGGACCCATTCTGGGACTCAATGCTGAGGAGGTCGCCGAGGAGGTGAGGGTTTTGATTTAAGTAATATTTAAGTAATATTTCATTAAATTTCCTGATCTGAAGTACAGGATAGTGGAGACTCCGACTATCTGATAGTGATATATATGACACTAAGATATTTAACCCACTTTAATCTAAACCATGAATATAAAACATGATTTCTTGTGATATCTTTAACAGCTCTGGAAGCACTTATCTCTTATCAATAAATATATCAATAAATATATCAATATATTGATAATATCAAATAAATAATATCTCTGATTATATAATTATGTACTTATTATTTGTATCTACTAAACACTACACAGGTGGGTAACCTATGGAGAGTCATGTACAAATTAGTGCGTTCTTTCACCGACCTCCCTGGACCAATGAGAGTTGCTACAACAGTTAAAAACAGACTGGATAAGTTCAAACTTCACCTGCCACTCTTGGCAACTCTGTGTAATCCTGGTCTCAGAACCAGACATTGGACTACCATGTGCGAGGCGGTGAGTACAGAACCCCCCTCCCCCCCCCCCCCCCACGCCCGGCCCCCACAACCCTCTCCCTCCCTTAATGCTGACCTGCTACGGCCCCCAGGCCTTTATACTACATATGTATTATACCCCAGCCCCAGTGTTTATCTTGTAAGATTAGTTCTATTATTCATGTGCGTATTATCATGTTTTATATAGAATCTGGTATATCTATTAACGCACATAAACAATTGGCGTGCTTTATCCCAGATTCTAATCTTTAACTGAACCAGGTTGGTTACGATATAACACCCACTGAAGAAACACCACTCTGTGAAACTCTGAGTTACGGTCTTGAGAAACACATCGAACAGCTGGAGGAGATATCTGGTGTGGCCAGTAAGGAGTACGCTCTGGAGAAAGCCATGCAGAAGATGAAGACTGAATGGGCCGATGTTTGCTTTGTGTTTATTCCTTATCGAGACACTGGTGTCTCTATTCTATCCTCAGTTGAAGACATCCAGATGTTGTTAGACGATCATATTGTAAAGGTTCAAACGATGCGATCATCTCCGTTCATTGGACCTTTTGAGGCTGAGTTCAAGGAGTGGGAAGCTAAGCTGCAGTCGATGCAGGATATTATAGATGAGTGGCTGAAAGTGCAAGCCACGTGGTTATATCTGGAACCTATCTTCTCCAGTGAAGATATCATGCAGCAGATGCCCGAGGAAGGTAAAATAACTTAATTTGTTTCAGATCATTTGAACTACTTATACTGTTTATTGTGAACCATCCTGATTTCTGACTATTTATTAATAACATTTCTGTTCACGAATTATTAAGCACATTTTTCCAGGTAAGAAGTTTACAATAGTGGACGGATTCTGGAAGGACATAATGAGCGAGGCAGTGGTAGACACAAAAGCGCTTGTGGTGACAACGATAAACAACATGCTGACCAAATTGCAACAATCTAATGCATATCTGGAAGATATCCAGAAGGGTCTGAACAATTACCTCGAGAAGAAACGACTCTTCTTCCCTCGGTTCTTCTTCTTATCTAACGATGAGCTGCTGGAAATCTTGTCAGAGACAAAAGATCCGCTCAGGGTTCAGCCCCATCTTAAGAAGTGCTTTGAGGGTATGTATTTAGGATAGGAACCTCTTTCATCTCACTTTTGCTCTTTTTCCACTTTGCTCCACAGTCCACCTCGGTTTAGGGCAGGACTATTTAAATGTAGTTCTAGGCCTCCCCAATTGTAGCGAAGCCCCTGACTCTCCACTGTTTCAGGCATTGCTAAGTTGGAATTTACTGAAAAGAAGGAAATTGTTGGCATGATAAGTAGTGAAGGGGAGACTGTCCCATTCGATACAACTATTATTCCTGCTGACGCTAAAGGAATGGTTGAGAAATGGCTCATCCAGGTACAATGTTTATTGAACTAACAACTTTCTTATCGTGCTGGATCATTATCTTAAATATAAGGAATTCGAATTTTTAATCATAACTATTTTTTTCGCTAGCAATAACACTTGTAATCCTCTATTAACTGATACTTGAAATGAAGATCATCATATCATATCGTATACTATATAATATAGTATGATATATTAGCAAGTTACCGATTCTGGAATTAAAAGTGTGATCGGTACACTTGATTTGTTTGCTTGTTACACGCTCCACAAAATACAATAGCTACTTGCTATAAAGCCACTAGCTCCCGCAGCCACACCAAGCAGATTCGCTCTCACTGCCCGAGCTCATTCCTTCACTAGCAACTCAACAGCGACAAATATTTTCTGTAGAGTTGTAAATATGCGATTTTACAGTGCATGAATATTCCAAATAACATGCAACTCACTCTCAATACATGTTGGGATAAGGCTATGATTTTATGTTTAAATAGTACACATGGTGAAGAGCTGGCCGATATCGGCTCTCAGCGTTGGATCTAGATGCTTGTGAAACTGACGAAACACCTAACAATTGCCGAGTTAAATCCCTTCTCTTGAAGGAATATGAGTAATATGAGTATAATATGAGCATATTTATACTTCCCGCTAGTAACACTATCCCGTGGTAGTTGGTAACTTTACAAATTAAATATAATGACTGATCAGGTACGGGACGTGATGAAGTCCTCTCTGGTGAATATCGTAAAGGAGAGTGTAGAAGCGTACAAGAACACTGACAGAAAGGAGTGGGTTATTGACTGGCCCGGGCAGGTAGTCCTGGCAGGGTCTCAGATCTATTGGACCACTGAAGTGGAGGAGGTGAGACGTTCAAAATACTGGACTACTTTTGTTGGTCACTCTAAAACTTGGCAACATCTAAATACAGTTATTCCTCAGTCTTACTCTGAAGATTTATTTATGCATATTATATTTCTCAGCCTGATAAACCACATCAAATGATGGAGTAGTTCGCTGTTTGTTAGTCTCATTATTGAAGTACTGATATTTCAGTATAACGTGATAAACCACAAGTCATTAACATTTTAAACCTCAGGCGATTGTTAAAGAAAACGGTCTGAAAGATTACCTCCTAATACTGAACGCTCAAATAAACGATATCGTAGAGCTGGTCCGAGGACCTCTTAACAAAGGAGCACGTGTGACGCTCAGTGCGCTGACCACTATTGACGTGCACGCGCGAGACGTGGTGGAGGAATTGACACACAACTTGGAGTTGTCAGATGTTAACGACTTCGATTGGATAGCTCAGCTGAGATACTACACTAATGGGGATGATGTTGATGTGAAAATGATAACAACTACAGTAAAGTATGGAAATGAATATCTAGGTAAGTTGTATTTCGTGATAGAGCTTTTACTTCTGCTATATGGACACGTTCATTTGAGTTTGAGGATATTGGTAAATATAAGTGACCCTATTAAAAGGCACAGTGTAGTTGACTTTGTCACACTATGAAATTACTTAAACCCTTGATGGTTAGGATAATCGTCTCATCCTCTAGGCTAACTTTGTCACATAACGATATCTTAATCAGGTGATAAGATATCGCTTAAATACGGCCGGCACGGAAATGGTTACATTGTCACACTATAAACATGTGACGGAGTAAATATGGACCCCTTGCTGCCGTTTTTGACCAAATTTTTGAGTGTCCAGTTGATTGGATGGGTACATATGACCATTACCTACATATTTGACGACTTTTTTCGTTAGATGGTGCATTCAGGTTTACTCTGTCACACATTAAAGAAAATATGTGATGAATGTTTAGGGCACCCTGATAAGCAATGCTGAGTAGTGTAAGTTTATTTGATGGCCTGGAAGTGCTGGGAATTGTTATTATATCATATAGTCGTAAGGAATTAAAACACAGAAGGCACAACCAAGCTTACTTTGTCACATAATCTTGATAATATCTGAACATGTGTGAAATTGAACAAATAATGATATACCAGCTTAATCCCCTTATATTATACGTACTATGGATCAAACAACACTGCTAGTACCATGCACCAGTCACATAAATCATTATCAGGTGGTAATATGTTAACAGTGTCACAATTAAACTACCGCTACATGGTCAAAAATAGGGTAATTTCGTCACAAAAAATTATTATAACTCTGTTAGCTCCTTGCTGGCAAAATAACTAGTTTATCGAAATTTTTTTGATGATAAAGTTACATAGTATTCTAATAGAGGTATAGTTCTTCAAAATAGGGGCAAGACATGTTTACTTTGTCACATCAGTTATTATAAGAGTTAGGTAATCGTCATCAGATCAAAAGATATTTTTCGTAGTTTGGATCGATTAATACTTTAATATACCCGTAATAAATCCTATGCCAATTTTAACACACTATCTTGATACTGTTGGGGCAGGGAAAGTTAATTTTGTCACATTTTCAATGTCTTTGACAAATAGATCTAAATTTTAAAAATTGAGTTCTTATGTTCTGGACAATATTCTTCCAATCGTTTCTGAAAGAATGTTGAATTCTAATAGAGTTATAGATCTTCAAAATAGGGGCAAGACATGTTTACTTTGTCACATCAGTTATTATAAGAGTTAGGTAATCGTCATCACATTAACATATAATTTTTGTAGTTTGGATCTTGATTTATATAGGTAATAAAGCAGCCTATGAGTATTGCTGAAAGCACAGTGTAAGGCCTACACGGACCGCCTCTAACTAGCCAATCCCTGTTTACATGCCGTGTAGCAGGGGACTAGAAAGAGCTAAACTAGTAAGCGGGGCATAGCCAATACACTGTACTCCCATCATTGAGTATATTACCAACCAAAAGGAAAATTTCCTAATTTTTACACACTATCTTGAAATTGTTGGGGCATGAAAAGTTAATTTTGTCACATTTTTAGTGACTTTGACAAATTTAACCTAAAATTGTTAAACTTAAGCTCTGATGTTCTGGACAATATTCTAATAGAGGTATAGAATATAGATCTTCAAAATAGGGGCAAGACATGTTTACTTTGTCACATCAGTTATTATAAGAGTTATTATAAGAGACTATTTCATTCTATAATGATTGTTTTTAATCTATTTACGATTTCGTATAATTTTTTGTGACAATGTAAACATCAACTGATCTTAACTTGCATCAACTACATTGTCATCATATAAGATTTTCCCGCCTTTCAAACCAAAATCAGATATAAATTATTCGCCCAAAATTTTAAATTTCATATATTGTGACAGATTTAACCTCATTTCCCAATAACCAAGTGCCTGTATTAGCTAACTATTCAAAACAACATATTTTAGGGCTATGCTTGGTAGAGCAACCATAAAATAATGAGTTGAAAGGGTTTTTAGGACACCTCACAGTAGAATAGAGGTATGGTATCATGAGTGTGACAAAGTTACCCAAATATTGCCTTGTAACCGTTCGATCCGTGCCCATTAACCAATGTTGTATCATAATTGTTAGATTGACCTAATTTACTATATTTCAGACCAAGGAATGATAATTAGACAACTGCAGTTAACTAAGTCACACAAAATGTGACATTTGAAACATTATAGTGCCTAACAACAATAGATTTTCTTTCTGAGCGGTGCATATGGGAGTATGGGTTACGTGGCTAATGTTCAGAACTTCTGAACGTGCTAGGTTAATAGATGTCAAAATTAAGCCACTATCGTCAAAAACGCTATTATTTTTGTTTACCAATATCCTCAAACTCAAATGAACGTGTCCATATAGCATATATATGATATTTCGTTTCTCTAACTTCTACACATTTTCTTCAAACCTTTGCAATCAGTGTAATCACATAGATCTCTTAAGAAACGGCCCAATAAAAATACTTCCTCCCCAATAAGGTAACAGTGGCCGGCTGGTTATTACTCCTCTGTCTGACAGATGTTACAGAACCTTAATGGGAGCCCTGCTTCTCAACCTTGGAGGAGCACCTGAGGGTCCTGCTGGAACCGGCAAAACAGAAACGTGCAAAGATTTGGCTAAAGCTGTAGCGAAGCAATGTGTCGTGTTTAACTGTTCCGATGGTCTTGATTTCAAGGCCATGAGTAAATTCTTCAAAGGACTCGCTCAGGTTTGTACCCCGATTTTTTATTATCTAAATTTTCTATATTCTAGCTTTATGTATGACGCATTTACGGCAGCTCACAACTTTTGAGTTAACGATTGTTTTATGTAAAAGCTAGGTTTTCTAATTTTTACTGATATATTGACCTTAGGCTGGAGCGTGGGCATGTTTTGACGAGTTCAACCGGATTGAACTGGAGGTGTTGTCTGTGGTTGCTCAACAGATTCTCAGTATTCAGAGAGCTATACAGTGTAAACAGAAACGTTTCCTCTTTGAAGGTTAGGGAACTTTTGATCTTATTGCGGACGTGTTTATTATCTATGATTTGTGTTTTTCTACTGGGAGCTGGTGAGCCTCTACCAGTATCCATATTAATTATTAATGCCATTATTAGCCTTCTAAAGTTTAGATAACAACAGATATGTGACAGTGACTTTAGTACCAGCTGTTAGATATTGATCTAAAACCTCTCGCCAGGAACTGATTTGACGCTGGATCCCTCCTGCGCTATCTTCATCACCATGAATCCTGGTTACGCCGGACGTTCTGAACTGCCTGACAATCTCAAGGTCCTGTTTAGAACTGTGGCTATGATGGTTCCTGACTACGCCCTTATCGGCGAGATCGTGTTGTACTCGATGGGATTTGTGGATGCTCGTGCGCTGGCTCACAAGATTGTGGCTGTGTACAAACTGTGTTCTGAGCAGTTGTCTTCTCAGCACCATTACGATTACGGCATGAGGGCTGTTAAGAGTGTGCTTACTGCTGCTGGAAATCTTAAACTCAAATTCCCTGATGTAAGATTTTGAAAGCACTTTTCATAGAATTTGGCATACGGGTATATGGCCCCCAGAATATAGGTGGCCCCCAAAATATAGGTCATGTTAGTGGATACAGTTCTAACCAAGATAAGCGATACTAATGGGATCTGTTACTGCTAGGTTGGAGTAAAACATGTAACTTATGTTTCTGGATAAAAATTTTGGACCTACATGAGGTATTTTGGTATACTTGGTCATGACAGCGAAAGATTTAAACGATGTTGTCATTTTCTAGAGGGGTAAATATGGCGAAAAATTGTCATGACAAAAATCTGTCCAACACATGCCATTAAGACTACTGGTATGAGTATAAGTATTATTTTAAGCTATCTTTTCATCGAGACATCTGCAAACTGACAATTTGGAAAAAAGTTATGGCCACCACAATTTTACGGGCCCCCAGAATATAGGTCTATACGACCCCCAGAATATAGGTTGGTCAAAAACCCTGAACATGCCCAAAACCATGCTTTGGGATGCTCTACTTGTAGCTACTAGTCTCCTGAACCCACATATCAAGTTTTATCAAAATTGGATAAAAATTGGCCGAGTTATGGGATAAAAACAAAAACCATATGCCCATATTTGGGCATACGCACCGAATTTGATCGATTTTGGTCCATAAATTGGTCAAATATCAATATTTTTGAATGAAACCAACTTTATATGGAAGGTAAGCATATATTACACATTCTCTATGATTATCAGCTCAATATCTACCTAACTGTGGATTCTGTGTTCAAATAATCGCAAAAAATGAACAAAATCGCCCATATCTCAAACTGACTTCGCTCAAAACAATAGAACTCAATAGGGTTTCAATATTTTCACATGAAATTTTCAGAATCAACGTAGAATTGTCTCATGACCTTAAGTTTTGGGACAGAATTTTGAGTTAGGCCTTTAAAAAAATTTGGCGGCCAAAAATGTCTGATTTACAGTCATTGAGGTGCACATTGTATTGATACAGATAAAAACAGCCCCCCTCAATCATATCTAGGGACACTCCTTCAATCTTATTTAAGTATTTAGTTAAGATCCCTACTAAATGAGTGCATGAAAGCTTTTTAACAAGTAAAATTAAAGATTTTACTCATTACGGGTATATGGCCCCCAGAATATAGGTTTAAAAAAAAAAATAGCGACCAAGATTCTGCATTTTCTCTGTCACCCTGAGCATTAAGGAATGTGGGGTAGTGATGAGAAACAGTTAAAGAACATATGCTGAAGAGATGGCATCATCAAAATGTATGAAGGTGGAGTATTTGAGGACGATTTTTGCATACCTATATTCTGGGGGCCGTAGTTTTTGATTTTTTGCTATTTAGTATACTCTAAACCATTTCAATTTAGTATCTGGAGCCATTGGCATCATCAATACAGTCTCAGCAACATATTCTGACTGCATATAACTTTTTTTTTTATTTTTTTTTTTTTATTAAATACTTTTCAAATTTTACAGAGTACAGCAATAGATGAATATAAAATAGAATCGTTCAAAATATCGCCCCCATCTGTAAAATATGATGGGCACCCAAACACGGTAAACACATAGTGAACTATGTCCGCAGTAACTTGGACCCATTACATCGAATTAATCTAAATCCAAAAATTTATGAAAAACTATTTAAGAACAAACAAATCCATGGTGAATAACTGTGGATATAGAGTCAAAATTGGTATTTCAATACGTCAAATTCCAGATACATTAGATACAGGTCTGAAATGGTCATTAATGTGTGAGAAGGTGTGCGGGTGAAGTGTGATATGATGTTGAAAGTATAGGAAGGTAGATAAAAAAAATTAATAAAACAAAAATAATAATAATATGGGGAGCAAAGAGACTAGGCTAGACTGTTGTTTCACTATCCAATAAACATTTCCATAGATGCTTAGTGACCTCAGCTTTGAAAAGACTAGTAGACACAATCTGTCTTACCTGTAAAGGGAGTCCATTCCACAGTATATGGGTTCTGTAGAAAAATGATTTTGCCAGTGGGCTATTTGAGGTACATGTGGTGTGTGAATTCTGACTTAACTTAGGTAAAATTGATGACACAATAGACAGACTGTCGAGGTGGCAACGTCTTAGTCGAGAAGTGCCCTGATATAGAGAGAGATAGTGAGGCAGCGATACAGGAATTAAATTGTTAAGAACTTTGTGGAAAAAAATAAGATCATTCAAGTCAAACTTTTGAGACAAAGGGAGAATGTCGACAAGCTTGCACTTTTTGACATATTGCTCAGGTGGATAACTGCGGCCCTCTTCAGACAGAATCCATTTAATAGCTCTCTTTTGGAGACTTTCTAATTTATCACTAAGTGATTTATTACAAGGGCGCCAGATTATGGAACAATTCTCGAATTGGCTACGAACCAGGGAGAGGTAAAGCGCCCGGCGACGTTTCTGATCAATGACAATATGGCCATCTCTTCTGACCATACCAAGTTGTTGGCAGGCCTTAGTATAAATTCTGTCGCACTGACTATTCCAACTTAACTTAGGAGTAACATCGACTCCAAGATCTTTTTCTAACTCTACATACACAAGAGGAGAGCCATCAAGATTATATGCGAATGGAGGAGATAAAGATGGTTTTCCTGAAACAATAAGCACTTTACATTTTGCTGGATGGAATCGCATTTTGTTTCTTAGTGCCCAGTCAGAGAGATAGTCTATATCCATTTGTAAATTAGTATTATCAGAAGATGAATGTATTTTACGCCAGATTTTTGTATCATCGGCATACAAAACAATATCAGTATTATCCGAAAGGCCAAGAGGAATATCATTGATAAACAATACAAAAAGTAAGGGACCAAGAATAGAGCCCTGGGGGACACCAGAATTAACTGAGAGGGTAGATGACATCTCATTACCAATAACCACTCTTTGGTAACGGCCTTGAAGGTAATTGGTAAGAAATTTGAGAAGTGTACCATCAATGTTATATAAGGTCTTTAGCTTATGAAGAAGGATATCATGATTTACAGAATCAAATGCCTTAGCAAAATCAAAATACACAACATGATTGATAATGTTTTCGTTAAGAGACAATGCCAGGCTATCACAAAAGTCAACCATATTGGTTGTGCATGACTTGTGCTCTAGAAAACCATGCTGCCTGGGATCAAGAAGGGTACTTGTCAAAGAAAGCAGTTTACGTTTAACAATGCGCTCAAAAACTTTCATGACTAAACAAGTAAGGGATATTGGTCTATAGTTTTCAACCTCACTTTTCTTACCTTTCTTAAATATTGGGACAACATTTGCAAGTTTCCATTCTTGTGGAATGTAGCCGCTGTTGTAAGATCCACGAAAAATACATGTTAGAGGGTAAGCTAAACCTACGGAACAATTTTTGAGAATTTTACCGTGTATGCCATCTGGTCCCTGGGCTTTATTTGAATTAATATTTGAAAGAAGCTTACGAACATCCCGATGATCGAAGTCAATATCAAAATCAACATCATTGACATAGGATATGTCAGTGTCATAAAGTGAAGGATCCGAAAACTGGTTATAAAAGAAAGAATTGATAAGTTCAGCTTGAGCTTTGGGTTTGAACCGAAGCTGTCCAGAATAACTAACACAATTAGGAATACGGCAAGAGTTAGATTTATACTTAACATGTGACCAAAACTTCTTAGTTATAAGCGCTGGATCATCACTATTGAAAAGATTGTCTCTTATTTTGGCTGATGAAAGCCTCTTAAAATCTTTACGGCTAGTAACAAACTTTAACTCATCAGAAATAGAACCAGAAATTTTAAATTTAGCTCTGAGTCTATCTTTTTTACGGCATGAAGAAAAAAGTTCACTATCGAACCACGGGGGTTGAAACTCTGATTTAATAGTTACTTTAGGAATATGTTTATCAACTAAATTCATAATGCAGTCTTTAACTAACTTCCAAGACGAATCAGGATCTAGGCATTCTAGGACTTGCCAATTAATCGAGCATAATTCACGATTAATCATGTCCCAGTTTGCTTTCTTATAATTATAGATTTTACGTTTAGGAGTTTTCTTGCGGGAAAAGGAGCTTTTAATTGAAAAAGTGACAGGAAAATGATCAGATTTGCACACGGAATGAGGATCACAGACATTCAAGTTATCGATTGTGTTATCATAATTACTGAGAAGAATGTCTAATGTATTACCACTTTTATGGGTGGGTGATGTGATCAACTGGGAGAGAGAAAGATCACTGAAAGAATCTATGAAGGATTGCTCAATAGGTACGGTACTGGATGAAGATAGCCAGTCTGTATGGGGGAGATTAAAATCACCAATAACATAGATTTTAGGGGGATTCTTTTTGGAAACTAGCTTGCGAATATAACTAACTATGACATCATGATTAGGTAACCCAAGAGTTCCTACTCTATAACAAGTACAGATTACAATACTCTCTTTGTTAGGAAAAGCAATTTTAACGGCCAGCATTTCTGCACCTAGGCTAACTGGTAGTCGGGTTGTAGTGGCATCGAGATCAGACCGAACAGCCAAAAGAACACCACCTCCATTTTCCCTAAACTTTTTAGGGTTATTAGGATCTTGAGGATGAGTCTTTCTCGTGCGGTCATTGCGGAAGATTTCATATTGAGAAGAAGGAAAGATTTCGTTGCTAGAAATAGATTTTTTGAGCCAAGTCTCATTTAGGGCAATTATGTCAGGCTGCTCTATGTTAGCAAAGGATTGAAGTTCGGAAATCTTATTACCATCAAGAAGGGGATGGGAGGAGCTTAGGTTACTGAAAGGAATAAGACCTTGGACATTTTGGTAGAGTACAGATAGGGAGTTGGGACCTGGATTAAGCATAGAAGGATTAACAAGAGTTATCAAAAGAAAGTTAAGAGAGAAAACCCAAAGAATGAATAAAGATACTAGACGCCTGAGGCGGCTGGAATACTTGACTCTATTCATCTTACCAGGGAGAAGAACATTTCTTATAAACCATGAGGAGATAATTACAAAGAAAAGTTTGATGTGGGAGCAAGCAAGAAATGGTATAAGATAACGTGGGCTGTCAAGGAGTAGAGAGGAATGAATATTAGAATCTAGGGGGAATACGGTGTTCATGGACCTAGTCGTGGAGAGAAGAATTGGGAGAAGGTAAGTCATGATGAGAGAATAGAAGAGAAACATATGATTATGATAATTGTAGTTGATGTGTGGGGTGCATGGAGAATTAAATGTGTAAATTTTGTTAGGTATAAACGTGTTGATATGTATATGTGCATTTCTTGACTGTGTACGAGGCCTTTTGCATGCAAAAAGACCTATTCTAAGTCTAAACGATTCATTGTCTAACATATGGGAAAATGGGCAGTGACCGAATGTACCTGAAATAGGAGGCATAAAATTGAGAAAAAGATTAAATCAGAGATTTGTTTGAGTTTTAATTTTAGGCGCAACGTCTTAATCAAAATATTAAATGAAAGAAAAGATCAAAGATTTAAATTCCCAGAAGATTATTTACAACCCTGTCAAAACTGTGTTCGTTTACAACAAACTTAAGCCAAGTGGACAATAAACCTACTCCTCTCATGTTGAGATGAAGCCAATCATGGTATAGAAGTTCATTACAGGATCTAAAGTCTCGAGTTAAAAATTCTGAGAAACAGTCTAAGAACACACAATTATTATTTAGGCATAAGTCTTTAAGTATATTATTAAAATCTAGAACATTCTTTGCTATGTAGGAATATAAACACTTAATAGGAAGACAACATTGGATAATTATAATTGCAGCGGGAAATAACTGCTTAGTGGTGTCAATCAAGTCATTAAGATACTTCCTAAGGAACTGAACCCCATACTTAGAATGTTTTATGTCATTTGTACCAACACTCAATATAATCTTTTCAATATCGTCAGCTTCTGCAGCTGCATGAGTTTTATGAAAATGCTGAATATTTTCAGTGATATCTCTAATTTTTGCACCACTTTGGGACACATTGATTACTTTCCTTCCCCGGAATCCCAACTTATTTGTCCGTACGAATTTTGTCATTGACGTACCAAACAGGACAGTGGTTTTTCTGCTCTTCGGTTTTCTTGGGGCATTTCGGTAGTAAAGGGTTGGTGTTGAGGTGGTGGTGGGCGGCATAGGAATTGTAGTGAGGACATTCTGCTCCCTGACTACATTTGTATCTGTCTTCGGTATCTGGCAGCGAAAAGATAAGCTGTACCGAGTCTCCTTAGCTGATCTCTCTGCACGAACCTTGTGAAGACAATATTCCTGACACCCCGGTTTCATAATATACAAGCTACAGTCCTTTGGGGTGATATGGCATTTACTGTTACATCGCTTATCCCCATTTTCTGGAATTATGTCGAGGGTCCTCTCAGCTCCAAATGAAACTACATAAATACCTTGCGACTGGTCAAGAGACACCTCGTCGTCGTTGTGGTACCTAGTTGCACAAGAACCAGACTTGTACATGCTTGCTAGGCATGAGTTTAGCTTGCAGCCAAACTTGGAGTTGATATCATGCATAAGCTCTGATATCCCAGGATAATTTAAAATATCGATTGGCTCCTTAGTCGTGGTGTGTCCATTTGAGGAAGACCACACATATTCTTCTCCAGTGGAAGTGAGCCACTTTGTGGCAGTTTTCACAGCAGTTTGCTTGGCCATAAGTGTTTCAAGTTCAGACATCAACGTGCCATGTTGAACACTCTTGTTTTGAACAAAATCTGAATGCAACTCCAAGAAGTCCTCGCATTTAACAGAATCCCTCTTAAGTTTCATGACATTCTCAACACTGGCCTTAAGAGCTTTCAGCTCTTTTAATGAAAACGAGTTTAAAACATTGGTAACAGAATTCAGATCCATAGTGAAGGAAAGAGGGAGGAGAAGATGGCGGTGAGGGAGGAGAAAATGGCGAAGTCAATACTGTAGCCCAGGAAGTAGATGCGTTGCTTAGGATACAAACGGTCACGTCATAGTCTCTTCTATCGCTTTGACATTGGGACCTAAAATTATTTGTTATATAAAATTGTCTGTGACAATTTTAGAACAACTTAGGAACAGATGTTTGGACCTATATTCTGGGGGCCCTGTTAAAAAATGGTATTTTTACAGGTGAAAAAAAAGTACACTTAAAAACCTAATAATTATTTTCAACTACCCAAGAAACATTTAAATGGTTATCATGTACATATTTACAGCCCTAAACATGCTTAGAAGTAGTTTTAACACCTGTTTCTAAGTGCTCAAAAAACGACCTATATTCTGGGGGCCATATACCCGTATCGCTATAGCATTATAAACTATTGATCAATTAGACAATTACCAAGGTGCTCCCTATTGGAAATTTCTCTAACCAGGTTACTAAAATCTAACACTCTAGAATCAGGTATCTGAGGATATTATCATGTTGAGGTCCATCCGGGATGTTAACCTCCCCAAGTTCTTAGCTCATGATCTGCCTCTGTTTGATGGTATTTTGTCAGGTAAGAACATATTTTAAAGAGAATATATCGTAATTCGGAACTCTAATAACACAAAATAATTTGTGAATTTTTGGGAATTTTAGTAAGAATTTATTTTATGTAAGAACTGTGACTACTTTCTGTTAACCACAGATTTGTTCCCTGGAGTGACCCTACCAAAGCCGGACTACACAATCTTGTTGGAGAGTTTGCATATCAGTCTTGCCAACCTAAAGCTTCAGCCTACTCCGTGGTTTATCGATAAGATTATCCAGGTATCATAAATTAGCCTTCCCACAAGAGACATCACCTCACTCGGTAAAACTACAAATTACAGAACTACTCTCATTTCACCTGCTCACTCATCTCAAACCAACTCATGGTAAGACATCCCCACATTCTAGATAATTTAAACAGTTAGTGACCACTATGAAACGAAATACCTTTAAAAAACCATTGTTAATTAATTGGCATTAAATTATCCACCACATAACACATGATAAGCAGTGAAGCAGTGATCGAGCTGTATAATTTAAATTTAATAACTTACAATTACCTCCTACACCTAGATCTACGAGATGATGTTAGTGAGGCACGGTTTTATGATAGTCGGAGCTACCATGGCTGGAAAAACATCTGCTTATGAAGCTCTGGCTGGAGCTCTCAATGATTTAAATAAGAAAGGACTACTAGAAGAAGAGAAGTGTATACACAAAGTGATCAACCCCAAATCTGTAACCCTCGGTTAGTTCAATTTATGAGTAGATATATCAACTTATCAAACATCACATTTGCGAAATATGAATTTTGGCCGTTACTTTGTATTTAATGTGTTGGTATGACGACCAGATATTATTTCTACTTCCCATTATTAGGACAACTGTACGGAAGCTTTGACCCGGTATCCCACGAGTGGACAGACGGTGTCTTGGCGGTCTCCTTCAGAAAGCAAGCCAGTGCCCAGGTGAAAGACCGACAGTGGCTCATATTTGACGGTCCTGTGGATGCTATCTGGATTGAGAACATGAACACTGTACTAGGTACGATATAAGCACAAGAATTATAACATTTTATGTACATTTCTGGTGATAGTCGAAATGAAATACAAACAATTGAAGGAAACATCTTAAAAGCAGAAAAATCAAATGAAAGTTGTATTTATTTAATTTGTTATTTTTCATTTATTCGTAGTAATAACGTTTGGATCTCACTTCAGACGATAACAGGAAACTATGTCTTATGTCGGGAGAGATTATCCAGATGCACCCTAATCAGAGCTTGATCTTCGAGCCTGCTGATTTAGAGGCCGCATCTCCAGCCACAGTAAGCAGATGTGGTATGATCTACATGGAGCCCTCCCAGCTAGGAGTGGAGCCTATCATCACCAGCTGGATGGAGAATATGGTTCCCAATGGATGCTCAGATCAGCAGAGGACGATGTTGGGACTTCTGCTCAATTGGCTCATACCTCCCATTCTTGAATACGTTCGGTAAGTCTGGTTTGAAGTTTAACTGTTTTACAGCTTCACAGTTTTTCTCAGTTCTTAATATTATTGTGGCTGATTTTTGGTATAAAACAATTACATTTCAGACGAAACGGTAAATTCTTCATGCCGATGTCGGACTCGCACATCACAAGTGCAATTCTAAAACTATTCGAGTGTTTCCTACTTGACTTCTGGGTGGATGAGAGCGACTCGAAGATTCGGTTAAGGTCAGACGATGACGAAGAAGTCCCCAACGAACTTCATTCTGACAAATTCACAAACCATCTTCAGATGTTGTTCCAGTTCTCTCTCGTCTGGGCCGCAGGTTTGTTTGAAGTTCGCAACTTACTCCTGGTTAACAACTGTTTCCGAAATTATTGGGGCTTGTTAATCGCAATTGAATGTTAAGCTTTCTAATATTAAGCTTTCTAATATTAAGCTTTTTAATATTAACCTTTTTTTCCTTCAGGTTCCATATTAAAGTACGAGAGTCGGCCTGCATTTGACGAGTTCTTCCGTACTCTGTGCTCTGGCACCAAGGTAGAAAACCCACGGCCAGCTGATCTCAAGATGGCAAAGAACGTCCAAATCCCACAGAAGGGTCTTGTATTTGATCATGTTTTCAACAAGGAGAATAATGGATTTGTGTCATGGGAATCCACGATGCTGAGACACACTATTCCAGATGATATTCAGGTTACATACCACGTGGTTAAAAATTTTCTCGGTTGTCATGGAAACGGGCGTAATATTAGTCATATTAGCAGCGTTGTTAGCGTTTAATTGCTGCGCGTTCCGCGGCGCGCTCCACATGGTTAATTTGCATGATTCCTTACCCTCACAATTTGTTATCCGATCATTGTACTTGAAACTTGAACTAGAGAACTAGCTAACAAACACATAAAATAATCCGAAAACTACCCCAGGTTAACCAAATCATCATCCCAACGGTTGATACCACGAGACAGAAGTACCTTGTCAGGAAGTTCATAGAAAACAACTGTCCCTCCCTGATTGTTGGTCCGACGGGGACTGGAAAATCTGCCATTACAAATAACTTCATTCTTAGTCTCCCTGCCGACAAGTTAGTAACCTTCTACATTGCCCCCCCCCCCCCCCCCCTGCCCCCACATTGCACTGGACAATTGAACAAAAACTGATAAAGAGGCCAGGGGTGACTGTCAGAGATTCGTCCCATCATCAAAAATAGAATAATAACCTTTACTTTGCTATTTCTCCAGGTACATGCCGAACTTCATCAGTTTCTCCGCCCAGACTTCAGCAAACCAGACGCAGGACATAATATTGTCTAAGTTAGACAAAAGAAGGAAAGGTCTGCTTGGACCCCCAGTTGGCAAGAAATGTATCCTGTTTGTGGACGATCTCAACATGCCCCAGAAGGAACAATATGGGGCACAGCCTCCTGTAGAGTTGCTCAGGCAATGGATTGATAACGGCAACTGGTATGACAGGTAAGCGTAAGATAGTCAAGGGTTCTCAACTATTCAAACCATTTTTCATCAACTGATATCTTCCACTTTTTTCCGTCTTGCTAAAATACAAGAAAATGTTTTATTCCAGGAAAGACACAAGTCGAATAGAGATGATCGACCAAGTGCTGATCACAGCCATGGGCCCGCCAGGTGGTGGACGCAATGATATCACAGCACGTTTCACCCGACATCTTGTCGTTATTGGTATTGACAGTTTCACAGAGTCAGCTTTGAAAGGAATATTTTCAACCATCATGGACTGGCACATGTCCACAGGATTTGAGGGTTCTTACAAAGCCATGACTAAAATTTTCATCGACTCAACTTACGATATCTACAAGTTTGCGATAGAGAATTTCTTGCCAACTCCCACAAAATCGCACTATGTATTCAACTTGCGAGATTTCTCAAGAGTTATTCAAGGCATGTTGTTGCTGAAAGGCCAGAGTGCAGACTCCTCAGCTAAAATGTATCGGCTGTGGGTACACGAGGTGTACAGAGTGTTCTATGATCGTCTTGTAGACCCAGCTGACAGGCAGATGTTCTTCACTTTCATCAAGGTAAACTATTGATGAATTAATTTGTTTATTTCTATCTCTTACTCTTCAATATCTTGATTTATCTTTACAAAACTGTTGTATTAATCTTCTGATATTTAACCCTCCATCAGAGTATAGTGTCGGATAAGTTCAAGCAGAACTTTGGTAAGACCTTCTCTCATTTGGGACAAATCGGAAAAGAGGTCTCTGATAACGATCTTAGGTCACTGTTCTTCGGAGATTATATTAATCCTGCCGACGTCAATAAACTATACGACGAGATTACAGACTTTGATGCCCTTAAAGATGTAAGGCGATGCATTTTGTATGACCTTTCTTGTAATTTAAAACAATTAGGAGGATTTTTCAAACTGCTTATGTTCGTGTCAAATCATAATTATAGTTTACACATAATATTATGATCTTACGTATTCCAGGTTATGGACAACTCGTTGGAGGATCACGATGCTATCAGTAAAGCCCCGATGAAACTAGTCATGTTTAGATATGCTATTGAGCATGTTTCCAGGATATCCCGTATCTTGAAACAGCCTAACAGCCATTGTCTCCTGGTGGGAGTTGGTGGAAGTGGTAGACAGTCTTGTGCTAGGTTGGCTACCCACATGGCTGATTACGAGCTGTTTCAGATAGAGATAACCAAGCAGTATGGTATGGTAGAGTGGCGGGATGATTTACGAAGGCTACTCAAGATGGCTGGTTTTGATGGTAAACCAACTGTCTTCATGATGAACGATAACCAGATAAAGTCGGAGAGCTTTGTTGAGGATATCAACATGATCCTGAACTCTGGAGATATTCCTAATTTGTACGAGCCTGACGAGCGTGGTGAGATATTGGAGAGGATGCAACAAGTTGCCACTGAAAACAAGGCCAAGATCGAGTTTACTCCTTTTGCTTTGTACAACTACTTCATAGACCAGGTCAAGAACAATCTTCACGTTATACTTGCATTTTCACCTATTGGAGATGCGTTTAGAACAAGATTGAGGAAGTTCCCATCGCTGATTAACTGTTGTACAATTGATTGGTTCCAACCGTGGCCTAGTGATGCTCTGGAGATGGTGGCTAACAAGTTCCTTGAGGATATTAACGTTGACTTCGACGTTAAAACCTCCATAGTGAAAATGTGCAAAACATTCCACACATCAGTAGTAGAACTCTCAGAAAGGTTCCAGGATATTATGCAACGAATCAACTACGTTACTCCAACAAGTTATCTCGAACTGATCAAGACCTTCAAGAGACTTTTGGGACAGAAGCAGAAGACTTTGTTGGATATGAAGACCAGATACGTTGTAGGGTTGGAAAAGTTGGAATCAGCAGCGAGCGAGGTTGCTATTATGCAGGTTGAACTGGAGGCTCTGAAACCTCAACTGGAGGTGACATCACGAGAAACAGCTGATCTTATGGTCCGGATCGAGGCAGAAACCGTCGAGGTTGGTTAACAGATTTTACTCATTGTACTCAGCTTAATAACTGCTAATAAGTAATTGCAAACTTGTTTCATTCTGATGAAGAAGCTAGTTGCCCTCTTTTGAAGACAAGTGGCCGTTGTATTTTACTTTCATTGATTACAGAAACCAAAACCATTCCTTAGGTTGAAGCCAAGAAAGAAGTTGTTGAAGCTGACGAGAAAGTTGCAAACGAAGCAGCTGCTGGGTCAAAGGCAATAAAGGACGAGTGTGAGGCGGATCTAGCTGAGGCGCTTCCTGCCCTCAAATCTGCCATCAAGGCTCTTAATACTCTCAAACCTTCCGTAAGATGTGTTCAACTTTGTAGTTAAGTAGACGAATCACTATTTTCAAATAAAGCAAAGATTTTACGTAATTTTACGATCATTTTCACATTTTGAAACTTTATTTCTGGTTTTAAGATTTAGCGTTTTAGGATATCAGTTTAATGAAGTCGATGAAGAATCCGCCTCACATGATACGATTCGTGATGGAGGCAATTTGTGTGATGAGACAAGTCAAGCCTGACCGTAAACCTGATCCCAGTGGAACAGGGAAGATGGTTGAGGACTTCTGGGGACCATCACAGAAGGTTTGTGTTAGCTAGTTCTTTCTTTCTTCACTTCGTAACTACAGCTGCTATAGTGCATAATGCATATCACTGTAATGGTATTCTTAATAGTTGACAACTCCGTGCATAGTTAAAAAGTTACGACTGTCAAAACTCGGTTGTTTCAGCTTCTGAGTGACATGAACTTCCTTGACCACTTGAAGTCCTACGATAAGGATCACATTCCTCCGAAAGTTATTAAAGTTATTCGGGACAAATATACCAGTAATCCTGATTTCGTCCCGAAACTGGTTGCGAGTGTGTCCGGTGCCGCTGAGGGACTTTGTAGCTGGGTAACAGCAATGGACATCTACGATAGAGTCGCTAAGGTAAGTTCCGATTGAGCTGCCGAGTTTGTTCTGGGTGGGCGATAATTGACCCCCCGACAATTGACCCCCCGACAATTGACCCCCCGACAATATAATTTAATACAATTGACCCTGACCCTGACCCTGACCCTGACCCTGACCCTGACCCTGACCCTGACCCTGACCCTGACCCTGACGCTGACCCTGACCCTGACCCTGACCCTGACCCTGACCCTAACCCTGACCCTAACCCTAACCCTAACCCTAACCCTAACCCTAACCCTAACCCTAACCCTAACCCTAACCCTGAACCTAACCCTAACCCTAACCTTAACCCTAACCCTAACCCTAACCCTAACCCTGACCCTGACCCTAACCCTGACCCTGACCCAGGACTCTGATCACCCTAACCCTAACCATAACCCTAACCCTAACCCTAACCCTAACCCTAACCCTAACCCTAACCCTAACCCTAACCCTAACCCTAACCCTAACCCTAACACTAACCCTTACCCTGACCCTGACCCTAACCCTGACCCTGACCCAGGATCCTGACCCTAACCCGATCAATTGACCCCAGTGTAATTACATGGGGGGTCAATTGTCGTACTAAACCCTAGATTTCGCGACAATTGACCCCAGTGTAATTACATAGGGGTCAATTGTCGGGGGTCAATTGTCGGGGGGTCAATTGTCGCGGTACCGTTTGTTCTATGCCTGTATTATTATAAACGTAGTTGTTATGGGCTTCTGATTTTGAATCAAGAGAATGATACTGCAAACAAAATTCGATGTTGTGTTGTTCTGAGTTACGTTCGCCTCGTAATCTTTGATCTTTTGCTTTCAGGTTGTTGCTCCAAAGAAAGAAAAACTAAAAGAAGCAGAGGGACTTCTCAAAATCCAAATGGATGCTCTCGCTGAAAAGCAAGGCGAGTTAAAGGCGGTGCTCGACAGACTTCAGCTCCTTAATGATGATCTTGACCTGAAGAAAACAAAGTTAGCTGAGCTTGAAGATGCAAAGGAGATGTGTGAAAAGAAGCTTGTGAGAGCAGAAAAACTCCTGGGTGGTCTCGGAGGAGAGAAAATCAGATGGACCCAGACTGCAAAGGACTTGGCGAGCTTGTTCGGCAATGTGGCAGGCGATGTGTTGGTCTCAGCAGGGGTCGTGGCTTATCTCGGACCGTTCACAGCAGATTTCAGGATGGAACAAATAGCCGAGTGGGTTAAAGGATGCCACGACTTGGAGATACCTTGCAGTGAAACCATAACTTTGGCGGGAACTCTTGGGGATCCAGTAAAAATTAGAATGTGGAATATCGCTGGTGAGATCCTCATAATCATTCGAATTTTTGATTACCATTTCGTCTAATCTTCTGAGATGCATTTTAATCAGTACTACTGTCATTTGAGAAGTTTTAGAAATGTTACCTATTTTTTTACACCATCAGGTTTACCTGTGGATACCTTCTCTACGGATAACGGAATTATCGTGGATAACACCTCGAGATGGCCCCTGTGTATTGACCCCCAGGGTCAAGCAAATAAATGGATCAAGAACCTCGAGAAAGCGAACCAGCTCAAAGTTATCAAACTTTCGGATCCGAATTATGTGAGAACATTAGAGAACAGTATCCAGTTTGGTCACCCTGTGCTACTGGAAAATGTCTTCGAAGAGTTAGATCCTATTCTGGAGCCAGTTCTACTGAAAACTATCTTCAGGTATGCAGCGTCACAAATAAAACCATTTAAGACAAATAAATATAGAATATTTTAAATTCTTGTGTCCATTGTCAAAATAGTTTACGATAAACGGAACATTCCTCCAAAAGTTTGCATTTATATTTAGAGTTCTTATTGAAAATAATTTCAGACAAGCAGGTGTTGACTTAATAAGGCTGGGAGAAAACTCTATTGAATACTCTCATGACTTCAAGTTCTACATCACCACCAAACTAAGAAATCCTCATTATCTGCCCGAAGTTTCCGTCAAGGTAGGTTGTCTATTTTATAAGATTTATAGAGAAGCGAGACAGTCTCATACAACAACGAATTTTAAAATTTCTTCTAAATCTCAAACCGTTTAAAAGTTTAGGTTGATGATGTTTAATTCATGATTACCATCCGTAAATTCATAACTCAGACGTTTTGATAGACATAAAACTAACTTCAGGTAACATTACTAAACTTCATGATCACGCCCATTGGTCTACAAGACCAGCTCTTGTCAATAGTGGCAGCAAAAGAGAAGCCTGAGCTGGAGGAGAAAAAGAACCAGCTGATTATTGAGGGAGCTGCTAGCAAGAAACAGCTGAAAGAGATTGAGGATAAGATTCTGGAGGTGTTATCCAGTTCTCAGGGTAATATTTTGGAGGACGAGACTGCTATTCAGGTCAGAGAAATATTCGCTATCTTTAATTAATCATATTATTTGCCTAAAGCTCACTTTCCTATTACGGTGCCACTATTCCATTGACCTGGGTTTAAAGGAAGAGAGATTACAAAATGTTTTTCATTCAGAAGAAAAGGTAGGTTTACTCGCAGTCGTATCAGTTACCCACGATAACCTAACACACTCGACTCTCAGGTATTATCGTCCAGTAAGATACTGTCCAAGGAAATCTCTGAGAAACAGGAAGTGGCAAACAAGACCGAGGAGGAAATTGACGCCACTCGAAATGGTGAGGATACTTTTATTTATATATATATTGATCTGTGGTCGACTGTGAACTTTCACTTCTATTCGCTGATGGATGACTCTTAACGTTAATACTTAATAAGTCCTAACTACGGATTGCAATTTGCAAACTATAAGCAATTTCCAGAACTTCTAATAAATTGCTCATTAATTTCAGGTTACAAACCAGTAGCGGCCCACTCTTCCATCCTCTTCTTCACAATCAGTGACCTCGCCAGTATAGACCCCATGTACCAATACAGTTTGGTCTGGTTCATCAACCTCTACATAGTCAGTATAGAGGACTCAGACAAGAGCAACGACCTGGACGAGAGAATAGAGAACCTGAACAATCACTTCACTTACTCAATCTACAGGAATGTTTGCAGATCACTCTTCGAGAAGGACAAGCTTCTCTTCTCCCTGATTCTCTGCATTGGTATCCTGAAGGGTAAAGACAAGGTCGATGATACGGAGTGGAGATTCCTGTTGACGGGGGGTGTAGCTCTAGATAACCCCATCCCTAATCCAGCTGAAGAGTGGTTGCAGGACAAGGCGTGGGGTGAGATTGTGAGAACACAGGAGTTCCCTGCGCTCAAAGATTTGTATAAGCATGTGATTGAGAATCCTGATAAGTGGAAGGAGGTATATGATAACCCTCAACCACACGAAATGGCATTGCCGGATCCGTGGCACTTGTCATTGAGCCCAATGCAGAAGCTGATCCTGCTGAGATGTCTGCGACCTGACAAGATAGTTCCAGGTGTACAAGACTTCATCGTGGAGCACATCGGGCGATCCTACATTGAGCCACCTACCTTTGACTTGGCTGGCAGTTTTAATGACTCCAACTCTTGCAGTCCGCTTATTTTTGTTCTGTCTCCAGGAGCTGATCCTATGTCTGCTCTGATGAAGTTCGCTGATGATGAAAGTATGGGTGGTGATAAACTTGAGACTATTTCACTGGGTCAGGGACAAGGACCAATCGCTGCAAAAATGATCAACAAAGCGATCCAGCGTGGAACCTGGGTCGTCTTACAAAACTGCCATTTAGCTGAATCCTGGCTCCCTTCTTTGGAAAAGATCACCGAGGAGACTATCGTCCCTGAGAGGACTCACAAATCATTCAGGCTGTGGTTAACCAGTTACCCCAGTCCTAAATTCCCTGTTACTATTCTGCAAAACGGTGTTAAAATGACTAACGAGCCTCCTAAGGGATTAAGAGCTAATCTTCTCAGATCTTACCTAAATGATCCTATGTCTGATCCGGCCTTCTTTAATGGCTGCACTAATGGACATGCATTCCACAAGCTTCTCTTCTCGCTCTGCTTCTTCCATGCTATAGTCCAGGAGAGAAGGAAGTTTGGACCTCTCGGATGGAACATCCCTTATGAGTTCAACGAGTCCGATCTGAGAATCAGTGTGAAGCAACTCCAGATGTTCCTGAATGAATATAATGAAGTTCCCTATAAAGCACTGGCGTATCTGACAGGTGAGTGTAACTACGGTGGCAGAGTGACGGATGATAAAGACAGGCGGCTCCTTATATCTGTCATGGACCGGTTTTACACGCCCGATGTGGTTAACGATGATTCCTTTACTTTCTCACCCAGTGGTGATTACTATGCTCCTGTTGACGGTCAGTATGAGAGCTATCTGGAATACATCAGATCTCTGCCTCTCATACCCAACCCTGAGGTATTCGGACTTCATGCGAATGCTGATATCACCAAGGACCAACAAGAAACAAACAATCTGTTTGATTCTATCCTGATCACTCTCCCAAGACAAGCGTCTGGAGTAGGGAAGTCTCCACAAGACGTTATCACCGCCCTTGCTAACGATATATTGAGTAAAATGCCGAAAGAGTTTGACGAGGAGAAGGCGATGAAGAAGTATCCTGTGGTGTATGCAGAGAGTATGAATACAGTGCTGTTACAGGAGTTAAAAAGATTTAACACTCTCATCGTTGTCGTGAGAAAGTCTCTTGTTGACATTGGTAAAGCTATAAAGGTCAGTAAATTATTTATTGGGACGTTTCTCTTGCTTAGTTACATCTTGTTCAATTGTCATCAAACAGTGTATGTAGTATTAACAGTTTTGTAAATTCCCAGGGGCTAGTGGTGATGAGTCAGGAACTGGAGGCTATGTTCGCGTCAATGTTGGTCGGCAAAGTGCCAGATTTATGGGATGCTAAATCCTATCCGTCTCTCAAACCATTGGGAAGCTACATTCTTGATCTAGTGGCTAGACTCAAGTTCTTCCAGGTTTGCTCCATTTCCTTTAATTTATGTTAGATAATGTATTGTATTTCCTTCTCAAAGAACAATAATAATTGAATGTACATTGATAGATGCATCTATCGATCAATCAAAATAAATGTTGTTATCGAGCCACGCTGGTGCAATAACGTAGTATGATAAAATCCTGTAGAAAAGCAGGCAAATACTGTATGGTCACACTATACATTACATTCAAATTGCCCCACCCTGTTTTTATTTCTGAAAACTTAAAACTGCTGTCCTTGAAAAACTGAACAATGAACCATGAATCGTTTCCCTACAGCTCGTTGAGAAAAGTTCAGCCATATGAATTCAACTATCTGACATGTCTTTATTATATTTGGGAAAAAAAATCGTCGGATATCATCTTCAAGGTTTCTTTTTTTTGTCGTTGATGCCCCGTCGTTTTGTCCTCATGTGTTTCCGTTTTTCCATACTTCCGGCTGAACCGGGGCTCCCGACTCCGTCACTATTCCTGAGAGATTCCACTGGGACTCCCATTCTTGCGGCCTTCTTTACCTCCCACTCTCTGTGTTTTTGTAGAGCTGCTTGTTTCTTTGCCCCTGCTAGTTCTGCTAGTGAGTTGTATTGGGGCGGCGGTGCGTTCCTCACCGTTCCCGCTCCATTTACCGCCTGTTCACCTCTGGGTACACTGTTCCCCTGAATGACTAGATATTACCATCAACTCAAACACAGCCAGTTGCAAACACGTGGAGTAAAAGTGCTGATTTCGAGAACAATTAAGAAAGCTGAACATCGCTGACATATTGATATCCTGATCGAAACAGAAAATGTGCTCAGAAAGTGAGAATATCTGAAGACCTTTGCAGTTCCACCAGACTCACGTTATATATGAGGTCGACTACCAAGGACTCAAGGGAGCTCGTAGATAACAAAGTGCTCAAAAGTGAGGATATCTAAAGTGCTCAGAAAGTGAGGATATCTAAAGTGCTCAGAAAGTGAGGATATGTTAATTGCTCTGAAAGTGAGGATATCTAAAGTGCTCAGAAAGTGAGTATATGTTAATTGCTCTGAAAGTGAGGATATCTAAAGTGCTCAGAAAGTGAGGATATGTTAATTGCTCTGAAAGTGAGGATATCTAAAGTGCCCAGAAAGTGAGGATATCTAAAGTGCTCCGAAAGTGAGGATATCTAAAGTGCTCAGAAAGTGAGGATATCTAAATTGCTCTGAAAGTGAGAATATCTAAAGTGCTCTGAAAGTGAGAATATTTAAGCTATCTTACGAAATTTCCCAGCTCATTCTCTGCTGTCACTACCTCAGGTCCTTGGTAGTCGACCTCGTAGATAACGTGAGTTTGGTCGAACTGTAGAGGTCTCGTCTTTATCAGATATTCTACCTCTGACTTTCTTTTTTGATCTTCCGGATTTATGCAACCTTTCTTCTCTGCCTGAGAATGGTCGGCATATGGCATATGCACTGGAAAGCCCTGAACTTGGTACTGTTGAGTAACCTGGCCTGGTTTAGGTAAATTGATTTAAAATAGAATGAGATTCAAATTGTTAACTTGGGAAATTTGTTACCTCCGATTTTCTATGTTCCTCTTTCTTGAATAGCGCTAACAGTGTATCATCAGCAATCTTCTTCCTTTGAGGTATGTAAGGTTCCTCCTCTAATGCGGACTCCGCTCCAGAGTTTCCACTGTTGTTAATTTAATCAGAATAATCAACTAACGAGGACTAAAAAGGAAATAAAACCTTCTGAACTTTCTAGCAAGATTTAATCTACCTTAGTTCCCAAAAATATGTGTGCCAAAACTTTGGGCTCAATAAATTTGAATACCAAAAATTTTTGCAGGAGATTTGAACTTGTTTATTTGCCATTAATTTGAATGCGATGAATTTGGGAGAGAGACCCGCCCAAATTTTTTGTCGCTCAAATTTTTGGGAACTAAGGTACTACTTAGTGTATAATACACTAATATTTTAAGACTTTTCACTATTTACCTGTCTGCTGAATTTTCTTCAGCTTTTTCGATAAGGAATTTGGCAGCGTTTCCAAAAACTTCAGAGTCTTTGTTTTCTTCCAAAAACTGCATAAACCTATCAGTAAAATTGTCCAATATTCCTACTGAATCTGCACTGCTTTTCCTCTGTGAACAGAAAGTTAGATAATGCCTGTTTTAAGTACAATAACGACTATTTCGTATTCCTTCATGTGCCATTGAGCGTGCGCTCTTTAAAGTTTTGATATTGATTGTATACTAGTCGAAGTCAAATTCAGTTTAGATAGAAAAAGATTTATCAAACTCTCATAGTCATATAATTGGCCAGTGCACAGTGCACACCAAACAAATCACACACTCCACACGAAAAATCTTTCAAACTCGCTCAACTCCAAATAAGGAGACTCGTGATTGTCCTATTTGGTCCGCCTCGTATACGAACGTAACAAAATCTAATGGTCCCCATACCCTCGAAATTAGTCCGACATCCTCGTCAGAAAAGAAGCTCTCCTCATCACTACCGCTGCTGCTCAGTTCCCAGTCGGGGTCCAGGATTTGAGAGTTGGGAGACGCCGGCACCGGGGCTGGCAGGGCTGGTAACAGAGACTCTGTGTCCTCGGCTCTCGGTCCAATCTCCTTCAATAGTTTGGCGTGAGGTGTCACAAGGCACGGCATGCAGCCGACTTCGCAGCCTGGGCTTCTGGGAAACTGACAGAAATTCACCGTCAGTCGAGCCTACTGGCGGACTGGCCGGTCTAACAAATATTGGTAGCTTCAAATGCTAGGTAGCTAGGTAAGGGGCCGGTAAATGTGGAGCTAAGAAAGGGACAGCAAGATTAGGTGCTTTTACTTACACTTCTGTCGTCTCCGTACAAGAACGGCTCCTCCTGGAACGCTGGGTGGGAGGGGCTCATCACTGGATGAGGGCGGACCAGAGGGCTGGGATGCCGGGGACTCAAGTGACCCAGTTGTTGGGAACAATTCCCAAGTTTGGGGCTAAGATTTGCGTTGATGGTTGCATTGACTGTCAAGGATACTTTGGTAACGGCCATCTTTTTATTAGCCTCAACCAAGCTTTGGTTGAGGCTGTGCCCGGGACCCTGGTACGTAATATCATTCCCATCTGTTTCTAACTTAGACACTTCTGTCCCTTTTACGACTTCTTTTCCTGATCGTTCCAGGCACTCGTAATTAGCCTTCTCTCTCTTGTACCTGTGCAGGGCAGTTTCAGGACAAGTCAGCTGATGAGTTTCTACTTCTAGGTTTTCGTCTGGAAATTTGGGCATTTCATACTGTGGGGACTCAATGCGGTATCCGGAGACTGAGGAATCATCCGCTGAGTGGTCCTCTGGAGGGTAACCAATGTGAGGGGGCTTCTTGCCGGGGGCCAGGTGTAAGCCGGAGCCACTGCCAGAGTTGCTGGTGCCTGGAAATCTGTTTTGTATCGGCTGTATCATCGGACTGCACTCTGCGTCTGAAGGGGTATATCTTAGTCAACGAATATCGAAACAAACTTAAAGATAGTAAGCAATAATTAGACTTCTTAAATTATTAAGGCCACAGGGGGGGGGGTCCGAGGTCGATTTTGAGATTTTGAGATATGTTGTAGAGCTCGATCTAAATTTTCAAATGCTTTTGTCCTTACCGAAAACAAAGTTTCCTATTTGAAGATATCGCGCGTTGAATTTTGAGGTTTACCTGTAATTCTATTGTAAATGAAAACTTTAGATGAAATCGTGTTCAAAATCTATCTTCTTTTTCAGTTTAGTGTTCTTCAAGGTATTTTGAGTTTTTGTTATGTAACGATTTATGATATCTTGCTCCAAAGCTGAGATATGAGGTTAACCATGAGTGCGGGTAACAAAATTTAAAATGGTTAACCTCATAAAAAGAGTTAGGAGCAAAATTACAACAATCTTTACATAACAAACTTTTAAATTTATGTCAGGAACATAAGTTCCAAATTTGAGGTGAAATGGATAAAAACTCTAGGAGAAGATAGATTTTGAAGTCAAAAATTCGAGGTTTTCAGGAGAGGCAAAAAACTGTTTTTTATGTTATGTGATTTTTGAGTATTTTGCCTTTATTTGTATATTTTTCAAAGTTTAACTGCTGAAATAACACAAAAACAATAAAAACAAAGCTTATCGTAGTTTTCAGTTGTAATGGCATCAATATTTCTGCCCTCCATTATCGATTTATCAAAAAAATGAGGTTAAATGAGAATTGGTTAACCTCATTTATTAAAAAAAGTAAAATAGCTACAGACAAATGAGTGGTGGCAAAGTATCCACCACAAAAATATATATTGATTCAAAGCATAATGTTTTTTTGCATTTTTTGAAGCCTCGACCCCCCCCCCCCTGTGGCCTTAAGGAAAGTTAATAAGAATTTACGTTGTGATGGATGATATTCCAAACCATCGTCTGTACACAACACCCCACAAGGTACACAGCCTACTTTGTACAGATTCTTTCGTAACCATATAACAATTGATTTCTGGTTCATTATTATTTAAACTGCTTCATTCGGCCTTCCAACGAGGACAAAAAAGCTTCAAATCAAAAACAAGCCCAATCGTTAAGTACTATAGTAACCACCGTACATTCTTAAATGGATAACTCTGTCCACAAGCATAACTCATAAGGACCAATCGTAAGCTGAATCCTTAGTTAACTTTTCCAGCTTATCAGTGAAACAGTTCCTAATGTACATTTGTTGCTACTACCAACCTAATATAACCACCTACCACAACTGTTTAATATTAACGATACACGGATATTGCTGATAAGTGATATGTAATGAGCCTGTGTGGTGTATTGTTTCTAGACACTGTCTAGAAACAGTGCACGTGCAGGCTGCAGGCATGTTACCTATTGCTGCCCCCGCTCACCTGTCAGAGCATGCGCTTTGGGGTCCAATATTGGAACGAAGGGTGTTTCAGCCCCACCGACCACGTAGTTGGGGTTAGCTATCATTTGCTTGCTCTTTTTTACATCCTCGTTTGATTTCTTTCTGACAGGCTGTTCTTCTTTACTTTTCTGCACTTGCAATACCTTTTTGTTCAACTCTTGTATGAATAGCTGAGGTAATATAATTCAAATATTTCACTGTCGGCTTCAAACTACAGAAGACAGTAAATAAAGCTAAAGATAACACTAGAAATTGGTCATTAAACAGTTCAAACAAAACACAAATAACCTGAGCATTTACAGCACTCTTCATTTCCAGTTTCCAAGTTTTCGTCTTTCTGTCGAATTTGAGAGTTGCGGTGTCCTCCTCGTCCTCCAGCTTCGCATCATACTTCCGAGTTTTGTGTCCTATCTTCTTCATTGCATCCATCTTCCTTACTGCTTCCAGTTGGGGGGAGTTCTTTTTATGGCTCAGTGCCTTTGCTCCCAAGTTTGTGCCCTTTCTGGGCAAAGTATTGGGTTTTGAAGTGTCCGACGAGTCACTTGGTGGATTGCCAGAGTCTTGGGAAGTTTTCTTGGTTGCAGATTTAGGGTTCTGTGATGATGATCCTGTCGGTGGTTTTCTTCTTTCAGTCCCTTCCATTTCAGAGAAGATTTCCTTAACTAAATCTGGTAAATACTTTTCATCTTCATTCTCCTCCTGTACATCCAGTTCAGTGGATCGTTTCAGGGTTTTATTGCTCCCAAACTTCTGAAATTTTGATAAGTCACAACGTTAACTAATAGTGATTTGCTCATTTGAATATTGGCGAGAAATCTTTTCTGTGGGACGGGAAAAAACAGAATTGACAGTAGATTAATTAATTGTCACTAACATGAGTTCCAGTGACATCTAGACTTTCTCCGGACATACTACTCTCATGCTCCTTTATATACGAGAGTTTTTTAGCATTGTCCACGTATCTGTTGATTCCTGAGGGCATTGATAATATCAGTCATTCAAAGTGGGTAAAGTACAAGTGCATGGTGGCCTTATGATTAGATTGGGTTATTTCCACTTTTCTTAATTTGACAAACATAATACGTCAAAAAAGAGATGTACAAAGCAAAAAACTTACTGTTATTCCTTACGACCACTTGACCATGTTCGTTCTCAAAAAGTTGTTCATTAGAACTGGTGGGTGACATTCCTCGTTGTCTAGCTATGATTTTAGGACCATTTCTCCTATTCCTTGTGTCTCCTTGTGGAAGTCCTTGAGGAACTTTCCTGTTCGATAGAGTCGGAGAGTTCTTAATGGAACTGGCAGGAGATGAGGACAGAGGAGACGGCTGCAATTTAGCGTACGGTACCATTTCCGAGATGTGGGGGTACTTATCTTGGACCTTAGTTATGGAAAACGCTTCTTTTGAGTTTCCCTCACGAGTTTGTTTGGCTAGTTCATGGTACTCTTCTTTCCAGCCACCCTGGTTTGAGACGGCTAAAGGTGGTAAATTTACAAGATTGACTTTATTTTTAGAGAATCCCATTAAATCTGTTGGACCGGTCGTGTCAGGAATGCATCTGATGAAGTTCGGGTCGGTTTGTAATATTCGTCTCGTCTCGTTGGCTTTGGTTCCAGGCTCAAAGTAACCACTATTTTGCTTGTTGCCCACAATGTAACGACCAACCGGCATTTCACTATAATGAACATGTTTTTGTTTCTGTTTGGCCGTTTCACTCGCATGATTCAACTGACCTACAGTTTGTCGAGCAGAACTTTGTTTCGTCACCTGACCTGAACCCAGAATAGCATGATTTATTCCCGGAGGCACGTGATCAAACTCCTGATTCACAACAGCAGCCGGATCCGGGAAGTGAAAGTATTGCCGAGAGTCGGTAGATTGAGTGGTATTTGTGGCGTGATTCATAACGGGAACAGGCGAAACCGCCGGCTGTCCTGTTGTAATATGAGGAATGGAGGAGTTGAGGACTGGAGGAGATAAGGTGACCATATTAGGAGTGAATACAGCAACAGGAGAAGGAGCTAGAAGTGGAGATATCTGCCTAGGTGAGAGTTGCCCCGCTCTGCTGAACTCATCTTGGATACGCAACTGAACGAATTACCGGTGTCACTACGCTAATAGTTACAGCTGTACGCAGCATGCATGATAACCAAACCGTAAATCTTAATATTTTACACTTGGCAGACCGATTATAATAATTGGAAATGGTTAACATGATCGCGGGAAGTGTAATTCTTAGTTTAACTGACCTGATTATGAAAGAGGTGATCGATGAGTCTCGGATTAATGTTCGGCTTCTTCAGATTTTTGTTGTTCTGTGGACTGTCATGTTGTTCACCATGGGGGTGGAAGAGGCGTAGGACATGTTGCTGTTAAGTAGTCCTGAATGTAAGATCTAGATAATTTATGTCATATTTTACACAAGTAATTGTCGACGTAATTATGCTGAGGATTATTATATGTTAAAAGATGGATATAAAATCGTTTTGGACAAATCTACCTAAAAATAGAACATACAAAACGAGCTCATTACCTGACTGCTGAAAAGCTTGCATGTCATTAAATATCTTGATCATGTGTTGGTTAATGGGGTGTCCGGGAGATGGAGTAATCTCACTTCCTCCAGACAGAGAGGAACTGTCTGGTTCCCGTCTTCTCCCTCTCCTGATCTTCCTTTTCTGTACTGTGCTCAGGGTCCGGGCCCTACTACTTATCAGGTACTCTGCTTCTGACATTTCAATAGCGAGACTCGAGGGTGAATCACTCCTCTCATTTCCGCTGCATTCCTGGTTCGGAACCTAAAGAGCAATTTGGAAAAGTTAAAGTTTTATATAATAAATATTATTTAATAAATATCAGATATACAGTCTGGCAAAAAGCAAGCACGTGTTAGATGAAAACTAATCATGTAAAGACATTTTATATTTGTAATTTCGGTTCATATTTTTCGTTTGGCCATTGATTTGCTGATTTAAATTTCTTAAATTTTCAGAACTGGATCACTAAAGGAATACCAAAAGTGTTTTGGATATCTGGATTCTATTTCACACAGTCCTTCTTAACAGGTAAATCGCACTAAAAAAGTTGTTTCTGCTTGAAAAAATCATTCTTCACGAACTGTGTTGATCTGATCGTTTAGCTCAGAGTTTAACCAAGATTCAATTATATACCCAGAAGCAAAATCTAACCCTGAGCCAATTACAGGAGCAACACAGAACTTCGCAAGAAAGTACAAGATACCGATTGATCATCTCACATTCGACTTCGAGGTCATGGAATCAGAGGAGACGATGGATGGCAAACCGGTAAATCTTTGTTCTGTTATCAGTCTTTAAAGCTGGACTGATAGAAGCAAGTTGATTGAGAAGAGGAATAAATGCACGGAGTATGTTCGTGTTATAATCATGCATGAGATCGTGCAGGAGAAATTATTAATAAACCGTTTCTAAGTGTCCTAAACCGCTTGCCGCGTTCGTAATTAACCGTAATCACTTGTCGATTAGTTGTGTTTTACTGTCGTGTTAACTAGCTGTCTTAACTTTTTAATGTTAATTGTCCGCCGACTTCACAGCTCTGATTGCGAAATCGTGGGATTGATTGCACGTGATCCTTTGATGGACAGGGCTGAGTTTTTCAAATAATTCTGTGGCTGTATTGACGTACGTCAGAAATATTAAAAATATTGATTCTTTGATCAGCTATAATCATCACGGTTGATGTATTAGTGCATGCCTCAAATCGCTTTAAAGCCAAAGATTTTCTGAATATATTCACAGGTTTTACCTAAATGTTTTACTCCATCTTGTGATCTTTTTGTGTTCATTTTCCGATTTCTCTGTGTTGATTTGTGCCCGTACAATTATACTATGATTATACTTTAACTTGCATGTGCTTTCTGTAAAAACGTCGCCCAACTTGGGCTCATTCAGCTGATTACCTTGAACTATTTCTCCGAACTGAATGATGTAAAGTGAAAGAAAAACTGAAACTGGAGCTACCAATTCAGGAAGACGGCGTCTATGTGCACGGTCTATTTATTGAAGGTGCAATCTGGGACAGGACTGAAAAGATGATGGGTGAAGCGGCCCCCAAGATATTGTACGATACGATACCTGTAGTATGGCTTAAACCTGCGGAGAAAAAGAATATATCCAAAGAAGGGATTTACGAGGTAAGAACTGAAACATTTGAGTGAAATTAGATAACTAAACTTTTTTACCTTTACCTTATCAAGAAAAAAAAAGATTGGATTCCGTTCAATTCTGTTTATGTTAAAGTTGGAACACATTTTAACTCATTTCATCCTTATACAGGCGCCTGTCTACAAGACATCTGAAAGAAGAGGAACTTTGTCTACCACAGGACACTCTACAAACTTTGTAATGTTCATGATGATGAAATCAGACAAGCCACAGGAGCATTGGGTGAATAGAGGTGTAGCACTATTAACTCAGCTGGATGATTAGAAACCACATAATGGGCTATTTAGAGACCAACTGGCATGATTCAGTTCTGAGGCAATTTCATGTTCTAATCAGATGAGATCATGATGGTCACGCCAGACTGCGAGTATTGCAGATAGTTGCAGAACCTAGCAACCGTCCTTACTCATGCATTTACCAGACTTAAGACTAGTCTTTGAAGAGACCTCGTGACTGATGAAGATTTTTGCAATTGAGGTTTGGTGACCCTCATATTATAGTTTTAGTCGGATCATGCGACGTTAAACGTTTACTGCTCCTCTGTTGCCAGCAAGTGCGTCATCTCACAGTAGAGAACAAAGGATTAAAGAGCGCACTAACAGTGAAATGGAGTAGACAATTGGGCTTTTGTAAACGCTGGGAAATAGGGCTGCCTTGTTTTGAAATTTAGTGTTCAGATACTACTGCATAGTGCATAACATATGAAGTTGCGCTCCAGTTTCTTTCTTTCAGCAGGGAGCTGCTAATTCAGCACATTTTTTCATTGTTGATAAAGTTTTGTTGTACTTTCGAGCTTGAAGTTCACAATCTACTGGATTTAAGAATGGTAAAGGGAACCTCTCATTCAACAAAAAGAAAGATGAGGTCAAAATCTCTTTCATTTGGGGCTGTTGGACGGTAAGCAGTGATTTACTTGCATCTATAATTATTGATGAATATGATACTATAATTAATAGATGTTTTATTTTATACGGTCTTTTGATATAAGAGTTTTTCACAAATATTAGTACAGTTGTGGCTAACGGGGATGAATATCTCTTCTCTGATCGAGTTTTATCTACAGATTACTGTGTTTGTGGTAACACGGTCCAGTGTTACATTTACAATACTGTTATGTTATATTATTAATAGCAACTTAGTTTTGTAAAAAGTGTACAGATATATACTTATATAGTAATCACATTTTCTATGAAAAATTGCCTTTTGCCTTCTACACAATATAATAACATGATGCATAAGATCTGCCTGAGATTTGTCGGAATATTCCACATTTATGCAGTTATGAGAGAGAAGGATAATTTTGCAGTGATGGTCATGTTTATGGTGTTGTTTTACAGACTTCACAATTCCGGTACACAGTACACTCAAATATAATCTGATAAGGTTGAGCGACTAGTACAAGATCCCTCTTGCGTCAAAGAGGGATCAAAGTAAAGTGAAGTAAAATAAAGTGGATAAAAATAAGTAGATAAAGTAAAGTAAAGTGGTTAAAAAGGATGTTAAACAATAAACATATTCGTGCGTGCAACGACTATCGTTTTCTAAAAGCTTGTAAAAGAGTTCTCATGGCTGCAGCAAATCACTGGTACATTCTACAGAATAGAAGAATTCAGTAACATGAGTTTAGCATAGTAATTAAAAGTAAGGCGAAAGCGATCTAAAACACATTATTGGACCAAGTTCATTTAAAAAACCTTAACTGCAGACTTTTAAGAAAATATAAATTCTGAAGAACATTTGTGCAAAGTTATCAACGAGAAGCAGAGGCCTTAAAGTTTGTAGAAATTATGAGGAAGAGGTAACATTATATTTATCAAGGATGGCCAATAAAAGGGTCTGGACTGTTCAAATGGTACACCACTATGGCTAAATACCGTACATTAGTACATAACGACCTCATTTAGTAATCAGTCTATTATCGGGGTGTGCCTATAGTGTATAATGGTATGTAAGGTGTGCCTATAGTGTATAATGGTATGTAAGGGGTGTGCCTATAGTGTATAATGGTATGTAAGGTGTGACTCATTACCTGATATACAAGGCGGCGCATTTTCCAATCATTTGAAAGTCGACAGTTTTCCCTCCAACATTATGAACATTGAGTGAAAGTGTGAACTTAAGGAAAACCTGTAAGACCTGTAAAAGAGCTTGTAGAGCACAAGGAAGAGGCTGGTACAGAGATAAAATGCAGATGTACACACGCTTTCATTTGTCAAGCCAGGGAGCGCAAGAGAGAGGGCTTAGCGTGGGTTGGTCAGTGCAGTTAAGTTATCAAATTCTACATTTAATCTACGAGCAAGAGAATGGTGGTCGTTATAAGTAGAATAGAATATAAGAAAAAGCAACATATTCAAGATTCAAGTCACAAGCTAGAACATTGCATATTATCGTGAGTGGAGTCTCCAACTTGGATAATTGCAATTAAGGGAATTAAGATTAAGATCATAACAAATCTCGTGACAGTGACGTCACTCATTTTAGACAGATCCTATACTCGATAATATATTCATATTTCAGACCTTGTATCGGGTACTTAATTAATAGCTAATTTATGCTCCGAATAGAATCTAGAAATAAACTATTACATAATGTATAGCGATGCATGCTAATTGCTAGTAGGAGAATAAAGACGACCCCTCTGCTTTGTATCAAAATAAAGGCGGCAGAGGGGGCTTAGAATTTAAACTCATACGGAGAAAAATGTAATAATACAAATCCCTTCGAAAGCACTGAAAACACAGACCGCACTACGAATTACGAGGTTGCATCAAAATAAAAGCAAAATTGAACTCTTCCATTTCAACAGAAGAGCACAGTGAATTTCGGCGTTTGTTGGTGGCCGACTCTAACCATAACATGACGTTAAAGTGCGGTAGTTAGAGACTACGAGATGCAGGCTGGGAGATTGGCCATGTCAACAGTGACTAACGAGCCTCAGATTTACGATTACAGACTACCTATGTAGTTAGTGGACATTATTAGGCTGAGTTAGCAAACCTTCTCAATTAACTACCTCCACGTCACTTCAGCGAATCTCAGGTAAGGTTAAGAGGACTGTAGAAAGTATATGGTTATAATGCCATAATACGCCATATAAATAATACACTATAAGCTTTGTATTTGTCTCGGCAGACGGTTCGCTGACCTATAGTCTTAGTGGACAGAAAATCACAGTTGTCATAGCTACGGTTTCTACATTGTAAAGTTTAATATAGTAATTGGTAGATAAGTATGTCGAGACTAGTTGTTCTTAAATATAAGAACGTGTGTTTTGCGAATGTTCCGATTACGTGCACGTGCAAAAAACACACGTCGCAGAGAAAAGAGTCTAAGTGGAGAAAATGACCAATAGGATGTGGCGAGGAAACACTGTGTATTGTGTGTACTCATTGTGGTAAACGAGCGATCAGGAGTATAAGGTAGCGAGTAACGACACACTGCTCAGTAACATCTTTAATGGCTTTGTGTAGCCATGATAGAACCCAGCGTTAGATGCCACAAACCAGTACACTGGCTGGATAATAGTTATATTGGAAGAAAAGATTCATCTGAAGCTTAAAAAGCACAAAACAGATTAACATTTTACACCTGTGTAAGGGTAACATATGTATTGAGAGCTGGTGTAGATGGCAAAGGATTGTTGCACAACGTGGCAAGATAAAGACAGTACCATTACATGACTAGGTGGTTAAGTGTTATACTATAGTGAGATCCCAGTGTGCGTGCTTCTGCAGAACATTATGATAATTTTATGAGATCTCAGCCGGCACCGGGACTATTAGTAGCCGGCTATACAGCCGGCACCTGGACTTGGCACTTGTCTGGAGCCGCCTCCAGACTACATTATAAGGTAACATCATCTGCATCATGATCATCTCACGCGTGTAGAAGCTGCTCGTGTTTTTATGGTCGTAGCCCTGGTAACACTTGAATATTCAACATCACCCTGTGTTTTGTAAAACGTTCTTCTGTTCATTGAACGAAGTCTAAGTGGAGGTGCTCTTAGGATCTCCTTTAATCAGTTGTCAGTGTAATTACAAGGATGTTGTAATGTGAAAAACAATCAATGGTAACGTTGAAAGTTGGGACATCTAAAATTGAAAGTAGAACGAACTATCAATACAATTTAACCGAAAAGGAACAAGGCAATCTTTCTTTAACCAGTTTGTAATACTCCACATTTATAGTAGACCATGTGTTAGTAATCACCATGGTCCGTTCGACAGACTCAAACTTTAGCGGTACAGAAAATACAGAGTTATTTACCAGAACGGATATTGCGTAAGAATTGACGTGTTCTCGTGTACACTGAATATAACAAAGCAAATACACTCAGCTCATGCAGAGTGCAGACCAGTTAGTCCTGCACATTCGTTTGTTAAGGCTCCCAATTGCAATCTTATATTAATCACCCAAATATATTTGTAATCAAAGCTTGTTTTCTCATCTTGCCCTTAACTTCATGGCTAGAGTCCGCCCATCTACGGTTAATTGTCTGAGAATTAACTTCTCGGTACCGGGATCCTTTAAACCTCTCTCTCTCTCTCTTTAAACCTACTCAGGGCTGGAGTCTATCTTTAATTCTTTAATATGTAGCAACATTGGCTGTTTCTCGACCTGCTTGAGATATTTACGTAGTTCTCTGCCGCATATTAATTCTACCTCTGTGACTCCTGACCAGTTTGACGTCGTGTTCCGTATTTTCTTTCAGCACAAATATGGTTATTAGGAGACTTAGGTAACGGTAAATGTTCTGCCCTAATACTCCTTCATAATAATACTCCTTAATACTCCTTCCCCAGCTTTAACGACCATGCTGCGGTCTTTTTTGAGCTTGGGTTGGTATAAAACCTAAACATTAGAACTTTATTAACGTATGGTGATAGAATTGGAAGTATTATTTGGGTCTGATACTTTCTGGCAAGCGTGGACTTGGGTAAATAATGATTCGTGTAATACGGACTACGGAGCCGTAGTATATTTGTGTATGGAAACTTCTGTTGCTATTCATCTATTGAATCAAGAGTTGGATATCTCGCATTAAGGTGTTACAATTCGCAAATGAGCTTGAATTATTAAGCAACGAATAATAAAATATCTTTCCAAATTATTTACGCCGCTTTAAAACTGATTGTGTTCTCTCATCCATTAATTTTCATATGTGATTTAACTCCAGAACATTATGGAAGAATGAACCTAGTTATAGTGCGCAGTAAAATGCCTCTACGTCCCTGAAATCGTTAGCTTTGAAGATACTATTACTTCTTATCGGCCAAAGTTATACGATACCGATCCCTTTACTTTTAGTAAGAGTAGGTTTTTAAAGAGATATCCAGCACTTAGTGGGTAACTGGTAAGTAACCATGTTAACATTGCTACAAATATCCTATATCAGTTCTTAACGGAATTGCTATTACATAATATTATAAGTACTATATTCTAGAATAGTCAGTCGAGTATCTCCTCCGTCAGACGTGGACATCAACATTCAACATTCAACATTCAACATTGATTGCGAAACAATTTGTTGTTTGATTAACCCTTCGTTCATTAGTAAGTTATGACTGCCATTAATAGCTTTTATACCCTGCCTTTTTTATGCTGCCTCTCTTGAGTACGATAAGAGTCATTCTCGCAAGCTTAATTTTGTAAAAAGTCGATTGGAGTTGCAACTTGCAGTTCAAATTATTAAAATAATAAGAATTTTACATTAGGTGCTAGTATTAGAAAATATTAAGATAATGAGTAATTATGAATTAATTATTAATTATTATAAATGTCGTAACAATGTAATTTCATTTATTTTATACTTTTAAAAGTTTTAAAGAGTACTGCAGCAGTCAATGTTCAAAATATAAACGCGGTCAACAAATATTGCCCCCATCTGTAAAATAAGATGGTCACCCAAACACAATAAATCTAAACGCATGGTAAACTATGCCCGCAATGTCAGAATATGATTATAAATGCATCCGTGACAAGATGGGTAGCACAAAGAAAAAAATGAGAATAGAAAAAAAGATAATAAAAGAAAGAAGGATACTAGGATCCGCTGGTACTATTGTTTTGCTCATTGTCTAGCATTTCCAGAGGTGGAGGTTAGGACAAGGAATGTGTTATTAGGATCTCATATTATTATATATATATATTATATATGGAATATTATATATGGAATGTTCTATTGTTTGCTGACGTTGGTGGATATATAAACGTCACAGTTAACTTCATACGCTTCATTAATCGGCAGTTAATTAATGAGTTACTGGTTTATTGCAGTCCTTAAGTTTATCGATACAGCAACCAAGGTGATGTGATCATCACTTATCTGGAGCTATACTGACTGCTACAAGAAGATAAGAAGGTATGTAATGGAAATCGGTAACTTCAAAAAATTTAAAGCGTCAAGTTTCCAAGGAATCAGGAAATAAGAATTGGTTATCGTCCCACTTCTTCCTAATTGTAACCTATATTTTGTGGACGGTCACGTGGTTACTGGTTATCCTGTGTCTACCTCCCTAAACCGCACCCCCTTATTGGTAAATCGGTAATTATTTAAAATATTACTAATTTAGTAATTTATGTGGATTTTGGTAGTACATCCTTATTCCTTGGACCCTAATGAACAGTTTTAAACGCTCAAACCTGTGCCATGTTTAGTAATTCCTAACCTGGACTAATAACGGTAATGGCAATTTTAATAGCTCCTGCTTGTTATTTTGTAGTGGTCACCGCAGCTTAACTATGATATAATTTCGTTAACGGTCCAAAGACGGTACTAATACTGTAGCTCGACATAAGCCACCTACCAGTTATCTCACTTCAGACTCGTTTAATCAGATAATTAAAACACCTGATGTTTCAAGAGGTCTATAAAGTCACCGCAATATTAATGAGCATCACAGTTCAGAGTAGTACATGCTGATGTAATCTTGTGGGTAGTTAGACTTGCAGTAGAATAGGTCAACACGCTCCCATTATAACTGGTACACACTGTACCAGATCTTTTATTGTCACCACCAGACCCAACATTCAATCGTCTTGATTAAGAAACTTGTATGGGGAGGGAGGGAGCCAGCACCTACCTATATATTATGCCACAAGACAACCTCGCATACAAAACTAGGCGACAGTTCTAGCTATTGCTTTATTGGTTTTGTCGCGGTGTGTTTACTAGAACACTCGATCTGAGCGCTTCTCACAGGCAGTCTCACGGCGGTCTTCAACAAGGGTGAGTATTTCTTTTTTTAGACTTTGAAGTTAAATCAGTTCGACTGATTACCGATGAAATTGTTGTAACATTTTCTGACACTGCTTCAAAAAACAGTTACTTTGAGCATAATGTTACTAACATTATGCTCAAAGTCATTGTTAGCCCCGACAAGGTTTAGCTGAAGTTTTTGAAGCTATTCCATGAATCGAATATTGTGACAAACAGTGTGTGAAGACCAGAATGAAATTTCTAAATGATATTGAAAAATATAAAATAACTTTTGACCGATCACCCACAAAACATATAGGTCATCTACTCATGTTACTCTTTATACAATTATTTCCTGTTTGAAAATTTTGATTTATCAAAACACGTGAATTATTTAAATGTTACAAGATCAAGGCAAGTACATGATTATACAGATTTACAAATCATAAACTTGCCTTAAAAATGGCCAATTAAATACTCAAATCGTATGTCGAGGTTATTTTTATTCGCAACTGTAGATAAATTTCGATTTAACAATACTCTGATCTAACTATTCATGTCATGAGAGGTTGTTTTTATTCTAAGTGAGTAAGTAAAGTGAGTAAGTATTAAGTACATCCTTTTCCTCTCACCGTATAATGGGCTAATCTATCTAAATTAGGCGCGTGGCTGCCCTATAGCGAGCTGCGAGCATGGTACCACTTCAGTGTCTGCCCTATAGCGAGCTATAGGTAGCTTACCACTTCATATCAAGGTTGTGGCCACGTTCTAAATAGTTTCTCAGTTCTCTTTTGCACGTGCTGTATTACAGTTTTGTGTCACATTCCCTCTACAGAGCGATTGTGTCTGTTATACTGTGTGTAGCGTATAAACTGGTTAGCAAGACTGATTTACATGCTAACTTGTTGGCTAGCTGATTAGGTATTTGTTTGCCGGTATAGAGTAAATTAGAACTGAAATAGTTAATCGAGTCGTTGGTTGGCTAGACTCAATAAAAGTAAAATAAGTTGTTTACCAAGTTAACAACTTCCGGGACCTCTTAATTAACGACACGACCAGCATATTCTAATAATATTCAGTTACAGAATGACATGAAATGCAGTACTCTGCGGTACTTTAACTTGAGTTAATGAGGCGTACTTTTTATAATCAATTAGTTAATCTTTTGTTTAGCCTAATGTGGACTTATGTTTGTCGGCCATGTTTGTAATTGTAAACGACAATATCCCGATTTGCTTTTCATTCGAGATCTTCGTTACGACTGCAATCCTAGTTCGACCTAGACAAAAATGTCATTTGCATCGTTTATTTATTTATTTATTTAGAGTCCAAACTAGAAAACAAGAATTTTCCAATCATACTTGGTCTACTTTAAGATCAATTTACAGTGAACTAATAGTAAGTAGTACTAATAATATAAGTTACTCAACAGTCATTACGTCACCAGTTATTACGTCTGTTACTCTAATCATCAACAGGCCATTGATAGAACATCTTACCTATCTTCCACGTTGTCACGCAGCGATATCATTTATAGGAGTGATATCTCCGTGGGTTTGTTCGTTCGTAATGTACACTTAATCAAGAAAACAGTAGTGGTTACGGGACTGGTTTTTTTGGTATGGTACTGACAAACTTAGAAGAAGCTAAATAACTTAGGTTTTTTAATCGACCTGTGGTAAGTGGTTTGATTAGGGGGGAAGGGGGGGGGGGGGTCCACATGGAAATTTTCTCAAAATCGATTTTTTAGTTGTTTCTAATAGAGGAGAGTGATGTCTATCAGATGCTTTTAATCCCATAGAAAAACATTGTTCCTAAAAATTATTGCCGGTCAAAGGTCAGCGCTTGTGTGTAATTGTATTGCGCAAGGGATTTTTGATCGCGCGTCCTGAAAATCGACTCTAAAAATCTATCTTCTCCTACATTTTTTGAGCAATCACTCTGAAACTTTCAGGATATGTTCTAGGGACCATTTAGAAGAGATAAGCCGGATGGAATTTTGAGATAGGCCTTTAAAACAATTTTATTCGATTTTGAAAATCTTGGACCTCGAAAAACGAGGTCCAAGATTTTCAAAATCGAATAAAAATTTTTAGGACGATTTTTAGGACGCGCGATCAAAAATCCCTTGCGCAATACAATTAGACACAAGCTCTGACCTTTGACCGGCAATAATTTCGGCTAGGAACAATATTTTTCTATGGGATTAAAAGCATCTGATAGACATCACTCCCCTCTATTAGAAACAACTAAAAAATCGATTTTGAGAAAATTTCCATGAGGACCCCCCCTGCCCCCTTAATCAAACCACTTACCTCAGGTCGATTAAAAAAACCTAAGTTATTTAGCTTCTTCTAAGTTTGTCAGTACCATACAACAAAAAAACCAGTCCCGTAACCACTACTGTTTTTTTGATTAAGTGTACATTACGAACGAACAAACCCACGGAGATATTACTCCTAGATAAATGATATAATTTTGAGATAGGCCTTTAAAAATGTTTTATTCGATTTTGAAAATCTTGGACCTCGTTTTTGAAAAAATTTCCACGAGGACCCCCCCCCCCCTGCCCCCTTAATGGTTTTAACCCCCAATGTGATACGAACGTTTATCACCTTCGGTCCCTCTCTCTCTCTCTCTCTCTCTCTCTGTCTCTGTCTCTGTCTCTCTCTGTCTCTCTCTCTCTCTCTCTCTCAGCTTTACTGCATAAATAGTTAATTTGACAGCTGAGCCGCAGGATTGCCTATTACTATTGGATACGTGAGGGCACTCATAATTTTTAAATTAAATTTACTTAAATGAAGCTTTCGACTGAGTGGGTTCATACTTTTGCACCGTTTTAAGTGCGACAGTTAAACTAGTTCTTAAATATTACTGATCCATTTAATTCGGATAATCTGCAACTGCTGATCTTTAAGTAATCAAAAATTAGACATAATTAATAATCATGAAGCTAACAAATCGGAATAATATGGCAGGCCTTTTCAGGATATCTGATTACTTACCAAGTTACCACTGCCAATAGATCAACATCAACAGCTCAACTCGTTTATTAGGGTTTATACAGGATGTTCTCTATTTCCCACTTGTTTTCTAGCTTTATGCTCGGTAATCGGTATCTGGTGGGTACATGTTTTTTGCTGCTTTGAAAACGAGCGTTTCTCTAGAAATACAGAATTGTGGTCAAGGAGCTGGTGTCTCATTGTAAGTGTAATTTACGGAAGTAGCCCCACATAAGAAGGTTTTTACTGGAATACGAAGTCTCGAACATTCTCTTAAATATGGAGATCTTGGGTCCAATTAATGCTATTCGTCACTCATTTCGTTCATATGATCTGTTTACCATCATGTCATAAGTATTCCGCGAATGGGTCGGGCTTCTTGGATACTGCATAATTTACTTAAAATCCATGTCAATTTTAAAACTCAGAAGCCTGTGAGATGTACAAACTGTTTTCGACCCAACAGGGAATCACGAAATTAAGATATTATGGTATACATGACTCTGGCAACTAGTATGATGTCACGTTACAACTAGTATGATGTCACGTGCAGAAGAATTAAACCCTCTCACAGCAGATAACAATATATCCGTCCTAATTTCTTAGATTAAACAATTATAAATCTGGTTTCTTTTATACTTCTCTTTGATTCTGTCAACTTCAGTAAATTGACAGCCATTTGTTTGCATTTCTTATCTCATAATTTTCTTAACCAGGCTAATAAATGTTCTATTTTTAAATATTTACCTAACCACATGACTTTTCTCCACCAATTTTCTGAACGATTTTATTCGCACGCCGTATTTGTCCAACATCTCTATTCTGTAATCACGAAATGACCTCAATTTCAAGTAGAAGATTATAAACATCAGTATGATTGTCCACAAGTCCATGAAAAGCTTCGGGCCAGGGTTGAACTTTGAGCAGTGGACACCAAAGGAGCAGACAGAGCAGAGTTTTGTTGATTTCAGTAGTCTGTACCGTCTAAACGAAACTAAAAAGAAGAAAAGGTAATGTATATTGTATGGATTAAGTGGATTTGACATCACTAACTTTGTTCACAACTTATTTCAACTTATTTTACCCAGATTCGTTTTGTGACTTGTGGTAGGACAGCTATTGATAATAGTTTGTGGTTTGTTACAATTGTACAATTAAATATTTAAACAGTTTTCCATGTTCCTCCTTTCTTATCCAAGTTATAAGTGGACTTCTTATTGTTCCCAATCCTAAATTTAGGTAGAAATTAAATTGCCAACTTTGTTCATTATAAGATCTGTCAAATGAGTTTGATTACTTTTAATTAATAGCCGGGTATTTAATTTTGTATTTATTAAACGCGATTTTTTAATTGCCTTCTGATGATTTGCGCTGGACTTTTTGTGAAATTTGTGCCATTAATTTTAGTCGTGCTTTTTTAGTCTGTACAGTTCTTCGTATTAGTTAAATCCGGATGAACTAAAATATGCCAAAGTGGTAAATATAATCCAAAATTAGTGTCCACGTGCAGTCTCTGTCAGGTATTTTATCTTTTTGTGATCACTATAAAACTGTTAGGTGGTAGATACTTAAATTATTATCAAAACAAAACACAGTATTGACTATCCCGCTACTTTGCGACAAATATATTGTATAATACATTTAAACTTAATAATCTATATTGTATAAAATAATATAGGTAAGTGAACTTAAGCCGGTTTTTGGAGTACTCTGAGTCGATTTTTTAAATCACTTGACTCAATCATCACGTTTAATTCGGCGGAGTAATAGATATAAAAGTATATAATAAATATATAGCTACCAGCTACCTGCTGAAGAAGAAGACTGTGCTGAGTCTATCAGCGTTATATCAGCGTTTTATATATTACAGCTACTCTTTGAGTTCCTCGTTGCTAAACGCAAATAGTTTTGAGTTCTTAGCAAGTTGGAAAAAAACGTAGACAAAAACGTAGACAAATGGAAAAAGAAGTGTGTCTTCTAGCCGGCTTGTGAAAAGTGAATCACCTTATAACCGAGAGATTGAGAGAAGTACTGACTTAAGGCGGCTTCAGAGTTCGAGTCAAAGTCAGGAGCGGAGGATAAATTGGTCTGACAAAGAGGTTTCAAGATACCAACGCTGCTTGATAAATGTGCATTTTAAACGATTTAGAACTCTTAAACAGTTCACAGAGTAGTTTTTGACTCAAGGTAATGATACCGTTATATCTTGCCTGATATTAGTTATTGGTATTAGGACGCCACTTAAATACCTCACTGACGCACTAAAAGTTCAGCATAATATGTCTAATTGCCCATTACTTCCGGTTCATCCAGTTGGTGTAAGCTGAAGTTCAAGTACGGAACATATTATAATACTAGTATCTATATATATATGTAATACTAGTATCTGCTCAGCTGCTCTATCTCTATTTGTTATTGCGTCTTACCCTGGTAAGCATTAAATGTCTTACTTTAGAGTCATCTGAATAATCATTTCGTTACAGCGTCTATTCTTCATTCGCCGACGTATCTAATAATAATTGTTTCGAGATTTGAAACTTGCATTTTACTCAGTCATTCCCCGTGTATCGGTGTTATCAAACAAGATCATTACTCTAGATTTTAACTAATGACTAGTTGATGTTGTAGTAGTAGTAGTGTCTAAGATCACGTGTAAACAGTACTGCAGTTTAGGCAGACTGCAACTCCTGGACAATGTCCGCCGTCAGGTCCACTTATCATTGGCTAAGGTATGGCTAATCTACGGAACTTCATCATCTCTTCGATCGTTCTTCTGTTTAAATGTTTGGAGTTGTTATTACGTTTACAACGTGAGCCGTGTTATGAAATGGTTGGGTAACATGGAATTTCTACACAAGCTTATTTGATTAGTCGGCATAAACTTTGATAAAGCATAATTATACTTATGAGATTGAATTTCCCAAGTTAACTTCGATTAAGCACACCACTTACAGTGCCCAGTGGTCATGTGATTTCACGATTTAGCAGCACTTAGCGGTAGCCCATCAGCGACGTAGAGTTGTTGTTTTACAATACAGTACACGAGAAAATATAAAGTTTTAGTTATTCTGCAGCTGCGGTTTTATTCTATAATTTTACTCTTCTGAGTGTATACCAGTTGTAGAAGGTTCTGTAGTTGCGGTTTAGATCGTTCCTTTTCAAACTCTTAAATCAAAGGTAGGAGTGACCATTGACAAAACCAAAGCGTATGTTTAGAAAATAAATTTATATATATATAGACTTATTTTCAATCGAATGATTTGATTTAAATCTTTTAGCTTGTTTTACAGCCATCATCCTTTAATTATATGTCTTGGGATATAATCAGGTTCGAAAATTTGAAATAATGACAATGTATGTCCCCAACTTTAATAAAGGGTGAACGATGCATCTGAATTCTGAAATAGTAAAAGCCTTTTAACAAACGTTAATTTTAGATCTTGGCACACTCCTCAGAATATGTTTATTCCCGCACAAAAATGAGCTTCTGAATTGCACTAAACATGATCCTAATATATATATATATTTTTTTCAGGAGCAAGCTAGACGATATGGTATCAGGGCAGGATATGGTGAACGGTAAGGAGAGGTGCTATTTCCAGGAAAAGAAATGCTTGACTGAAATCCACAATCGCACTGCGATAGCCTCCAGGTACTTATTTCTTCTGGAATACAGACGTAACATTTTAGGATATCGAGGCGAAGAAATAAGTTATTATTTTTATATAATAAATAAAGTGATTACACAGTGATAACACAGAAATGGGGATCGTATCCAAGAAGCCCGCACACACATCACATTGTTGGATATCATTATTAGCTACGAAATTTGCGGGCTGCTTTTAATTTTATTTTGTAATGTTAGATTATTAAATAGATTAGATGTGAACTAACTAACTCTCATTGATAGTAAACTTTATGAATACCAGATTACCACTTACCAGTAGTCGACCGGGGGCGGGATTTTTAACCGGTCCGGGGATCCCCAATCTAGCCGGGGCTGGCCATCGCCATTTAGCCAGGCCGGCAAATCCTCCATTTTGCCGGGACCGGGAATTGCCCCCAGTAAATTGCTAAATTTTGGCCGGGCCGGGAAGGGCCGGGGGTTCTGATTTTGGCAGGGGCCGGGCCCGGGTCGAGCACTGATGAATACTACTACTATCGATAAATGAATCAATAAAACTTCATAGAACAGAAAATCCTAAAATTAATTGGATAGATCAACAAATGTAATCACTAATAAAACTGGAACTTACTGTTTACTGTTTGGGGACCGGTTTTTGGAACACCGGCCAATGTTCACAAAATCATATGATACATAACAATGTAATTTTATTTAATATACGTGAATATGATAATTGAAAATTATGATGTAACCTTTTACATTTATTCATTTAAAAAAACCAAAACTTTAAAAATTAAAACTTGCATATCATGATTTATTATTGTATTGTATTGTATCAGATGCCATCGTGGAGTAGGTGGTCTCCTGCACCTTTTCCGCCTCGACATGGAAGAAAAAACCTAGACATGCAACCTGCAATCCGAAGGTGATTGCAGCCCTTACGGAAGACTATTATAAGGTCTTCATGCTTTTATAATTAATGATGCATAACGATAGCTTGTAAACCCCAGAAGTTTCCAGTATCATTATGGATCACTTACCAAGCCTGGTGACACAAAGCCAAAAGCTGCATGCTGGGACCGGCTTAAAATTTTTAAAGAAACGAATGGTCTTCGTATCATTCATTCCTGTAACTTTGAGTGCGGAAGGGCGGCGAAAATTTTAGGGAGTTATGAAAAATTGTAAAAAGAAAGTGTGCCTACTTATAGTGGTAGTTAAATGGATGGAAATGTAATACTATTCTATTAGTAATGCTGTAGCCCAAGGTAAATGTTTGACCCCACGTGGTGTAAGTCATCTGATATAGACACGTTATAAACACGTGAAATAAAAATAAAAATAAATGAAACGAGAGGCCGAAAATGGAAGTGAAAATTATCGAACTAAATAGATGAATTACCGAGAAACGGTAAATAACCGTTATGCACAGGGAAGGGGTATAATTGATTTATTAACATGGTGACAAATAATTTGATTTGATACGACAGAGAGATCACACGCACTGTTTTATAAGCTACTTGTGTCGGATTAACGATTAGTGGGCAGTGCAGAGTCGATAGTATAGTGCTCTGTATCAGTATAATAGTGCTCTTGTTTGAAGTGAACACAAATAAGAATAGCTGAGCCCATGTCTTATCAGCACCTGCTAGCCCTATCAATATGACGCTATCAATATGACAGTGAATGGGCAGTGAAAAATGTGGCATATGGTTGATAGTGACTAATGTGCTAACCGTATAGTTTTACTTATTCCTTAGGTAATTCTCGGTAGTTGATTTGTTGAGTGCCTGATCTTGTCGATTTACGTAGCCCGGGTAAATTATATTGTAACAGAAAAGGTGGCCAATCTTCATTGTTTCCTGAGCTTTGTAGTTCTATCATTACACGCTTTGCTGATTTCTTATAAATGCTTATTGAGAAAATGCTAGATGGGCAAGTTATGCGACTAATGTTGTGCTCGGTAATAGCTAATATAGGACCTTTATAGATAACAGTAGCGCGTAGATCCGGTTGAGAGTACGTTGTTAGCCAGTTGATATTGTCGTCATAATACGTGCCATACTTTGGTATATCGGGAGGAAATAAGTCTTTTATCGACGACGATACAAGGCCAGGCATGTAAGTTATCTTTTGCATCAGAGTCAGAGCATTTTTTATGATGACCCCGTGTACAGATAATATTTCGTACTCTTTAAACGTAGCTTTAGTATGATCCGGAAGCTTACCATCCTTGTAATAGTAATTCACGTAGCCCGACATAACTGCTTGTATTCCCTGCTTTTGTTTAGTGAACAGTGAGTCAATATGGGATTTTGCAGCAAAGCCCCAAACTAGTGCACAGAAATTTGAATGAGATTGTACAAAACTTTGGAAGATCTGTAAGCGTGCTTTGATTGGTAATTTGATTGGTAACTTAAAACAGCTCTAACTTTTTGACCTTTCGGTTCCTTAGTTGAGAAAACTCCCTAATCTTGAGGTTCCGGGCAAAGTGGTTCCTTGGATAATTATCTATAAATCTGATGTAGCGATTTTTATTCGACTCGGTTCTCGAATTATGAGGTTGACCATTTCAAAAAGTTGCTAAATTTACACTTTTGAGATGGTTAACCTAACAATTCGAGATTGTTGACAGATATACCCTCCTCTCCTTAATATATATAACTTAACAAAATGGTAATTGATCATACTCGAGTTATAATAACAAACCTAAATCGAACATTACCTCCGGTCTTGCTCGGTCTTGCTCGGTATTATGTCTGCTTCAAGGCAATTGCACACCCCTTATAGAAAGACAGTTGATCTTTCTATTCGAACTTTAGCTGTTTTGTAATCCTTAATATCAAGCTAACGTTCACTTCGAGCCTACTTTCTGACTGAGCTTATGGTAATGAGCTCAATAGATCTGGAAAATGAGGAGGGGAACCATATTACTCTGACATGTGACAGTGATTAACCAATCAGCTTCAATCATTGACCAATCAAACCCCAGAATCACAGTCGCGTGTCAAAACAAATATGGTTCACCTCCCCACAAGCGTCTGATCACAAGAAATTTTCCTCTTAAACTTTTATAAGAGGCATTTTGTTACTCGCAAATTTCTTTCAGGGCCTCACTGTTTGTAGCTCTGAAGAGGTGGAAAACGAAAGCAACTAATTCATACAAAGTTAAAGGATACGTAAGTAGTATGACGTCATGATTCTCAACGTCTATTTTAGATTTAGACTTGTTGATCTTGTCTACTTTATTTCTTGCTTTGGACCTGTTCTTTTAAAGTGGGTATATCCACATTCCACCATTATCTGTTTAGTTAACACAGTGTGTCAGCGTAGTGATTACTTCCCCACGTTTTCCATATATGATAATGATATATAATATAATAATACCTCGCCACATTTACATAATACCGCGATACTAAGCCTAAAACCTTGCCCTTCACCCCTTTCACTCTGTCTGGTGTCCTAGACCCTTAGCACTTAGCTCTTAGCACTTAGCTCTTAGCACTTAGCACTTAGCACTCTTAGGAGTACCTATACCCTAACACACCTGTTTATAAATCATGTCTAGTTGTTTAGCTGGGATGATAATATATCCTTACTTATGGAAGTATACCTTAGTTCCCAACAATTTTGTTGACGAAAAATTTGAGCGGCGCTTTCGCCCAAATTTTTCGCACACAAATTAATTGTTAACCAAAATTTACATCTACTAAAATGTTTGTTAACCAAAATTTTGGCATTTCGTTTTTCATGCTTAGATCCGTAGAAAAAATACTTTCTGTTCGTATCTGTGTGAAATACTGTTTAGTTACATTTTAATTCTCAACACAGTCATTCGTTCTTTTAACAAGTAACACTGCTTTTTTCGAATTAATAGGAGTAATTTGAGAAAGATTACAGTTAATTTAAATTTAGTAGTATATAATTGTATGATTTCATTAATCCAAGGCGAATAGAATTGAAATTCATTAGGGCCAAAATTGGTCGCCCAAATTTTTCGTTAACCAAATTTTTGGTTGCCCAAATAGGTTCAATTTTTTTGCCCAAATTTTTCGTACTCAAATTTATCGAGCCCAAAATTTTATCACACCAATTTTTGGGAACTAAGGTTATCTGATAGCATGGAACTTGAACTGATAATTGACTTGCAATATCGCCACTTAACTCTAATTTTTCCCATACAAGCGTCCAGTAAGGATATAATAGGTGGCTATAATTATAATGATCTATTACTGACTGTTATATTGCAGTATTGTCCTCCACTCTTACGGGCGGTTCCTTTTACAGCTAAACCAGCTAACTATAAACGCTTGATAACAGATAACAGATAACGGCCATGACATTTACCTGACATAACTCTTACTTGTTTTCGGTTTCATGATACAAATTTAAGGGATGATTCAGTATTACTTTATCGTGGTAATGATTGTACTCTCATTTTGTGCGGCTTTTTGAACTCTGTTTCCTGTACATGTCGGTCCTCCTTTAAAACCCAACAAAATGACTCATCGGCTCACGCTCACATAGTTTCAAACAATGAGTTGTTAACTGCTGTATTTCTTTTGATGTCGCTCGGAATCTCTAATCTTTCCTTATTCCGAGGCGTTTTACGTAGATGAGGCCACGGGGCTCATGCCACGTTAAGTATGTTCTATTGTGACGTTTATATTTAGGGGGCGCCTTGCTCGCTATCATGAAGTCTATGCCTATTATTTATTACTGATATTCAGGGCTACATTCGCGTCGCCTTGGGTAGACTTGCGTCCATTGTTAATTAAAAGAAGTTACGCTTTTCTCCATATTAACGCTTTTACTGGCCAATGCTCTTTGAGGCCTAAAATGAATTAAAAAATATAAGCGACTGAGATATTCGTATTTCAGGGTAGTTAGATGACCCATTTCCTGTTTGGTGGTCTAATTACCTTCAATATCCCTGTGCCTGTCTGTCCTGGGTTTATACTGCGTTTTCCAATTATAGCCATAGATTTAGCTGACTATACCCACACTAACCCACAGAAAACACAGCGGCTAAGAGCGAATCTAAGTTCTAATTACCAATTTTGAAATTTCAAAAATCACGTGACCTCGAACGAAGCAGCTGATTGGAGAGATTTAGCGTTCTGTCCCTCTGTTGCACGGATTTTATTTTCTTTATTGAATACCGACTGTCTAATTCAGTGTTAGAAGTGGAACTCAACAGACCAGGTTTTGGTTAATTATTCCTTAACTTTCTTTTAGTCTCGTTAGGGACTGATCTGCTCGCTGGTTGATATTGCTCAATGTTAGATCCAATATATATATATATAATAGTGAGACTGATCTGCTCGCTGGTTGATATTGTTCAATGTTAGATCCAATATAATATATATATATATACAATAGTGAGATGAGGAGGTTAGCTGATGTTGTGTCCACTTTGTCCCTCGCCAGGAAATTCGGACACAAGAAGGAGCGCAGGGTAGGTTCCCTTATTTCTTTTCCCTTATTTCTTTTCTCTAATTTCTTTTCCCTTATTTCTTTTCCCTAATTTCAATCTTGTAGTTGTAAGTTTTGTACTATTGGAGCAGGCAAAACAACAGTCACACCTGCAAGTCAAAGAGTTTGTTTCAACTCCCTAACCGATACCATTGATCTCAGCTTGTAATGTCGTTACGCTGTTATGTAATGTACATTATGATTAAGTAACTAAAGTTATATTGGCAACATCATCAAAAGTCTCCTTGCTGTCTGCAAGTCAGCATGCAGACAGCTAAATTTAATAACCGCACATGATGCCTAACCGGCTCCTCTATCCATTCATCGTTATCTTTCTGATTTACCCGATATACCTGTTAACTATATTTTACCAGCTTTCTCTCCGATATCGGAGAGTTAATTATTTGAAACGATCAGTCGATCTTCACTTGTGAGGTAACCAGGCAGATTTAGTTATCCTATTTGGTGGGTTTCGTTATTTTAAAGATAAAGCAGCTGTTCGTATGACTGACAATCTTATAGTTTAATAATAACACTACTGAATTAAGTCGACTTCAATGTTAACTTTACAAGATAGAACTTTTTGTTCTTCTTAACATTGTAAACTAAGCGGATATCCTGGTCATGCGACTTTTATTAAACCTGGTAGTTTCAGTGAAGTCGCCTGACATTGTGCTCTGTTACATTGTGCTCTGTTACATTGTGCTCTGTTACATTGTGCTCTGTTACATTGTGCTCTGTTACATTGTGCTCTGTTACATTGTGCTCTGTTACGTTGTGCTCTGTTATATTGTGCTCTGTTACATTGTGCTCTGTTATATTGTGCTCTGTTACGTTGTGCTCTGTTATATTGTGCTCTGTTACATTGTGCTCTGTTACATTGCGCTCTTTTATATCGTGCTCTGTCTGTGATCTGTCGTCTAAAGAGAAGCATCTGATATAGTTTTCCCCTTTCAGAGCACGCAGTACAAGTTGAGACTACAGATAAACAAGGGCCACTATTCTGTTAAACCACGGGAATCTTATCTCAACTACTTCGTAAAGATAAGGGTTGCTCAGTACAGGACTGGTGGGTGTTGTTTATTCTTCTCTTAGTAGTATAGGTACCTGGACTCAAACCTTTCTCGAACAATTATATCCGTTCTAAAAATACAATATTATTGTCAATTTATTTACGATAATTTTTAGAGACGAGCCCACTCGAAGAAACAGTTTACTACATCATACCAAACTGGGACGAGCAGTTCGACTTTTATCTCGACAGTTTGGACTATCCTCTGGAACTTAAAATTGTGGAGAGGGACAAGTTTGGGGACCATTTTGTTGGTAAGAGTTTATTTATAATGATTACAGGGTGTTTAAAAAGTCTTGTAAGTATACACTTTTTGAAAAACCTTTTATCCTGTAAAAAGTTATTGGTAATTCTAAAGTTTAATGGAAACTTCTGAATTTTGTACGTTGCCATGGCCACCATAGCAACCACATCATTAAAATTAAGTGCTTACCCCAACTACTTTCTCTTGTTTTAAACATGTCTATTCTCAGCAATGGTGTAATTATTTTTACAAGTTGAATATTTTTAAATTATTCAATTTATTTATGCAGTATTCAAAATGTGAACCATTGTGCAGGGAGATGTTCGACTGATTTGTTTGAATTTGGAGTTTGTGAGCCGTGTGTGGTAGTAAAACCTCTTGAGTGTAAGAGAGGAGTCGCCTCCAAACTAAACGGACAGTTGGAGTTCACTGTCGTTATTGAGAAAGCTTCCGACGCTGACCACAGACAGTACGAGCTTGAGAAACAGGTTTGGGTTAGCATTTTTAGTTTTATTTAGTTGTGTGTTAGAATATTGACTGCTTGCTTGATTCGCCTTTTAGTTCATGATAACTTACCTTACCTAAAGATAAAAATTCGATTTTAAGAGCTCGCTGTCGCTCGCTGAGGTCTATAATTTTGGAAACTTTAAGTCTGTTCACTTCAATGTGATTTAAATTTTAACTGAACCAGGCGGAAGCAGCAGCTGCTATACAGGCGGAAAAAGAAGAACGAGAGAAACGGAAGCGAGAGAAGCCAAAGAGAGAGGGTAACTCAGACGAAAGTGCTCAAAGTACTCAAAGTACTCAAAGCAACAACTCAAATTTCCAGATAATAGATTATCCTGACTCTGAAAATGAGAGGTTAGTGGTCGCTGGAAAGCCGAAAGATTCTACCTAACTTAATTTTTTGAACTTTTTACTACAAACTTTTTAAAACATTTTAAGTATCGAAGTAACTTGAGTACTTAAAATGTTAAAATTTTTGTTAAGATTACGAATTTAAGTTGCGGCTGAAATTTGTATGGGCCAGCCTATTATTGGAAAGGATTTGATCGAATTATAAGCAAAACTTGGCAGGAACACGATAAATTCTATTTATGGTAATTCCATCAAGTTTCCTGTTTTGGCATCAGGCCAAGTTACTTGTTTGCCAAGTCATGAGGAACAGTGTAAAGTGAGATGTGATACATAACACACCTACAATCTTGTTGTTGTGTGATCCTGCCTTTACATGATATACCAGCTGTACATTGTATCAATGTAGTTTGTACCACTGCAGTCAGCGTACCTTATGTTATGTTTGAAATGCTGCGGTTTCAGCTGTCACCCAGTCAACACTCACCTAAAGACATTACCTGTTAGTAGTGTTATCTGTCACGGTACTGGTAGTTCCCGATTTCTCGTGAATTTCAACACTTGGTTTCTTTGCTCTGTTATATAATGTATATGGTGGATTGTTGGTGTATTTTGTATAAACTGTACTACTCATTGGTACACAGTCAGCTGTAATATAGTTATTTGTGTACAAGTAAAATTAATCGTCATTACTTTATCTCAAGTCTGACCGACGAGTAATTTGTTATCTAATTACTTAATTAATTAGTTAATGATCTAATCGCAGATATTGATAAGTAATTTATTGGTACTAAGTTAGATCATATCTTTAAGAGTTAATGATTGTCCAATGATAGGTCACCTCGATTTAATCTTTTAATGGCAAATGCTCTATATAGATTATATCTAAGATCAGAAACCTGTATACTGGTGTGTGTTATGGTTTACATTGATTGATATTATTATCAAATAAAGGTTCTAAACAAACGAAAGTTTTAAAAAACGCCCAAGTCTTATCTTTTCCTAAAACAAATAACTATATGTAAAAACTTCACTGTAGTTTCTGCCAATATCTCTTGTCATAACTGATAATATCAGTGATATTATTTTTAATTGATGTTATTGAACTGTTAGTTATAGGCGTCGTACATTTGTCTGCACCATCAATCTGGTGCCCCTTATCGTGATTAGTGGCGCGTGTCTTATCGTGAATAGTCCACTTGTAATGTATTCAAGAAGTTCCATGTGGAATGATATAATGTATGTTTTCCTGGTGATTGTATAAATGTAACATTAGGTAATTGATACTATATTAAGTATTGAGTGTTGTTAATGATATATGATCGTATTACGTGGTCCGCCACTAATATACAGTTGATTAATTCAATGAACTAGGATCTTGGTATTTGTTGTTCGTTTGATTCTTGTTCTGACTGGGGCACGACCTTTACCAGAGTAAACTGGCGAGATCTCACAACTAGAGCCTACAATCTAACCATACAACTTGACTCTATCCACAGTTCCTGAGTTCCTAAACACCTGATTTAAATAGTTTGAGTAGACTGCTGCTTCTAACACCGTCTCCTATTCGTATAGATATAGATGGCCATTGGCCAAACGCCAATAAATTTCGATTTAGAATGTCGTGGCATCGTAAGCTTGTGTATAGTGTACTAAGTACTTGTGCCTAAGTTGTATTATGTATAATGTATAATGAATGTTGCTGTCAAAATAAACAGAGAGAGAGAGAGAGAGAGAGAGAGAGAGAGAGAGAGAGAGAGAGAGAGAGAGAGAGAGAGAGAGAGAGAGAGAGAGAGAGAGAGAGAGAGAGAGAGAGAGAGAGAGAGAGAGAGAGAGAGAGAGAGAGAGAGAGAGAGAGAGAGAGAGAGAGAGAGAGAGAGAGAGAGAGAGAGAGAGAGAGAGAGAGAGAGAGAGAGAGAGAGAGAGAGAGAGAGAGAGAGAGAGAGAGAGAGAGAGAGAGAGAGAGAGAGAGAGAGAGAGAGAGAGAGAGAGAGAGAGAGAGAGAGAGAGAGAGAGAGAGAGAGAGAGAGAGAGAGAGAGAGAGAGAGAGAGAGAGAGAGAGAGAGAGAGAGAGAGAGAGAGAGAGAGAGAGAGAGAGAGAGAGAGAGAGAGAGAGAGAGAGAGAGAGAGAGAGAGAGAGAGAGAGAGAGAGAGAGAGAGAGAGAGAGAGAGAGAGAGAGAGAGAGAGAGAGAGAGAGAGAGAGAGAGAGAGAGAGAGAGAGAGAGAGAGAGAGAGAGAGAGAGAGAGAGAGAGAGAGAGAGAGAGAGAGAGAGAGAGAGAGAGAGAGAGAGAGAGAGAGAGAGAGAGAGAGAGAGAGAGAGAGAGAGAGAGAGAGAGAGAGAGAGAGAGAGAGAGAGAGAGAGAGAGAGAGAGAGAGAGAGAGAGAGAGAGAGAGAGAGAGAGAGAGAGAGAGAGAGAGGGTTCTGTACATTCGGACGTTGTCTCGTCGTCACTTTGTGGACTGTTGAGCCATGTCAGAGTCAAAGAGTAAGGTGAGAGTTAAAAAGGGCTAAATTTGTTGCTTATACAGGGAACTACCAAGTAGCAGCTCAGCGGGGAACGAGCCCTCTACAAGTCAGACAAGCAGTACCAGAGGGAAGCTCAAGAGAGAGAAAACAGTGAGAAAGAGATCATCTGAGCGAGAGTACTGCTCCTCGTCATCGCACGATAGCTTCGCTCAGGACTCTCCTGGTCGGCCTGCTAGTGTCGTGACAGCGCACGAGCAGTCGCGCGATGTTGATAAGTCACTTGCAAACTCACGCAATGGTTCCCATACCAACTCGCATGACGGTTCAAATGATCTATTAATGACTTCTTGTGATCCAAAATTACTTCGCAAAGCTAAGTCAGAGCTATCTCCCTATCCGGATGCTGAAATGGAAGGACCTAAGCCTTACCGGAAACTTTCTCTAACTCCAAACCTTCCCCGGCTTGAACAGAGGACCTCTCTTAATAATCACCCCCTCAAAAAACATACACACAAACTGTCAACATCAGAAGAATCTGACCTGTTTGTGGATTCAGATCTGAACATATACCCCGGTGCCACTTCACCTGCTCCGTCAACTCAGATGAATGTTCTAGGAATTGTGCCCAGAATCGTTACACAATCACCATCACTATCACCCTCTGACACAAGCGAGCCAAAGAAGATTCTAGACTCTCAATCTACAAGCTCTACAAGCTCACTGAAGTCGAAAGGCTCGGCGAACAGCGGGAGTAGAGTCAAGTTTGACCCAGAAACCTCATCTGTCTCCTCATCCTCTTCGCAGATTCCAAACGGAGTACCTCCTAATGTGCTTCAAGGTGTTCAGCAGACCAGTTCTCCGAATCTTAGACTTAATCGCCGTACCTCCATATCTCAGTCATCTCCCAGCCTTTCTGGCGGTAGCAAGTTGATTGAAGGGGAGAAACGGTTCAGGACATTTTCGGAGGGGGCGACTAGAACAACTAGTCCCGATACCGAGGCTCTGTCCGAACCTGACAGTGATAAACTTCCAGAACTCTCTGTCACCGACAAGCGCAAATCGTTTGCCTTCAAGAATCAGAAACGTAAGCCGAATCTGCTGACCCCTAAGGTTCTGACTGATATTGGTGAGAGAAGTGACAACTCGGACCAGTCATTTGATTATGGAGATACACAAGGGGTATCCAGCCCAGAATCTAAACCAGCTATTGGAGGTGATGGAGCTGTTAACTCGGAGGTATGTTCGGCACTAAGAGCAGTGGTTTTGTTATGCTAATGAGTCTGTTTATCACACTGCTGTTATAAGTAAGCTGTCTATATAATATCTTGATTCTTGCTGTGTGTAAGCATAATACTGTGATAGCCCCGCTCCTATAATATCAGTAGTAATCGAATTCAAATCATTGATGTGGAGGTCATTGTACTGTGTAGGCGCTTGAACTATTTTTGGTAAAGGTCCACAATGGAATGCTCGCTTCTGAAGAACACACTAGTAATAGTAAATATAATATCTACGCCCTGTAATAACTCGACTCACAAATCTCGAGCGTTTTTGTTAATCGTATTTGTGATCCAAAATGCTTCAGACATACAACTTGTACTTCCACTTTTATATGTTGGATTTTGTCGTTTAACGCGTGGATTTGTCATCAGACCGTTTATTAATATGTAAAGCACATGGCAGCTGGTTTTATGTCGCCATTACACACCATATTTAGTTTGTCTTGTCAGTGAACTATGAGTAAGAGCAGTGGTCTAAAAGCTTCTATTCGTCGAACTAGGAGTAACCTTGGTGATATGGTAAGACCTTTTATCGTTCTGAATTATTTACGAAGTCTTGCTGAATCTTGAAGCTTTGCATTAAACCTTAATTGCCAATCGTCTTTGCTGCCAAATCAACGATAAACTGGAATCTCTGAGTTAGTTGTTGGTTATATCGAGTATCTTCATTTTGTGTGCTTTAATTTCTCTAATATTGCTACTTTTAATTTATACTCTGTATTTAGTTCGACAAAATATAATTTAGTTCATTGAAAACTACCATGTTAGCGAACTATACGAACACCACATAAACTGTCACTCGGGGAACATGTCCAACCTGTTGAAGTAGTGACAACTGGGTACCGCAGTACACTAGTCAGTTTCTCTATATTTACGAACTGAAGCATTCCAAAGCAACCTTATTACAAAGCATGCACAAGCATTACAGATTTGATGGGATTTTAAGAATACAAATTTATTTTATCAGCTGATAAAGTAAAAACTCTTCGTAAGTCCAATGATCGATACTGCAAGATTACTCTTCAACCTTGTTAACTGGCATGCTAAACGAGCACCAGAATTGATCTTTACTGAAATTTTATCAAAATCAAAAAAATTTTTATCAGAAAAAAATTCCCAAGATACTCTAACACTTTTGTTGAGTAGTTCCTCCCCAAGAGAAGTAATTAAATTGAATTAAATGTTCAGCTGCCGGAAGCAATATGTCTGCCAGGTTATTGCAAAACTTGACTTTCTATTACAGAATGGTTTATCAGTTATTTCGTTGAGACAATCCGCGTTATTGTTTGCCTCCAAGAATCGTTTGCCTCCGAGATTCAGAACGTAAGCAGAATCTGTAACTGATATTGGTGAGATAACTTGGACCAATCATTCACTCGTTGTGCACCAGTTAATCTGTGTTATTATAAACATTTATAGATCATTTCAGAATGATAAAATCCATTTATGATAATGGTGTTCCAATTGAATGAGTAATTGTCAGCTTTACAATCCAATTATCTTGTGCATGCAATCAGCTTAGACACAGTTTAACAGTGATTACATTGTACAGATAAAGTAAAATACCCACCCCTACACTATACACGCGTACAAAAGTTTTTATTATTATTATCTAGCACATGATATTATGCATGCCAGCTTTGTAACCTTCTCTTTTGCATTTGCTAATGCTTACTTGTCTCAGTGTCTTAACTTTTGCCAGTAATGTAATGCCTGCTGAGAAGAAGAAAAAGCTTTTGTGTGGCAATGTATACAAGGTAAAGGAGAACAATTCAAATTGTTCTAGCCATATTATTTCTTGACGCACCCCTGAAGTAAATATAACACCAGCATTAGCTGGTTTCTCATATTACAATTTCAGCACCGTATTGATTCCGTGTTGTTTTGCAGGCGATGTTCCGATCGAAGGGTAAAGAGGAGAGCTCTATTGAGATCTACATTCTGCGACTCACTGTTAAGACTGCTTCAGAGTTGCCACTTCTTGAATCGTTTGTCAAGGTACACTTTCCTGTTCTATTCGCCTTGAGGATGTGAATACTTTCGTTTTTTTTAACTTTTCGACAAAACCGTACTCATTGTACCTTAAACATTCCAAAAAAACTTTAAATTTTCGTGCTATCCGATGACAGATGAACCTACGTAACTTGCTGGTAAACTGACTTATCTCCGTCTTATCTCCCTTCTTATCTCACCTCAGGTAAAAGTAGGGAGTATCCACAAGAAAACATCGGTATGTAAATCAGAGGAGGGGTCTTGTACTTGGGGCTCTACTCTCGAGTACTATGTTAATAACACAGAGCTCTCAGCTCATATCCAGGTACTGTGGATTTTTATTACAACTCGAGAGTTCTGTATTATCTAGACCGAGATGTATAGCTAGTCATATCTTCAGATGTTTATATTCATTGTATCTTATAAACACTACTGGACCCCGGTGGTTAAGATACTTGGTTCTGACTTCTGGGTCTTTTGGTTAATCATAGCTAGGCAAAGTCCCAGTACAATGTGAAATTACTCAGCTAATGGTCCATCACTGATATGATTACAAGAGTGGGTATGAGATAATCCTTGCAAACACACGTTGGGACGTCTGCTAAGTTTCTCGATGTAATCCGACTTATATGACCCTACTCAATTTATCAAAACCTATCTCGCGTGGAAAGTGCAGGGTGGGCCAAAAGTCAGTACCCATACGTTGGCCTTTATAGCTCAGTCACTGAGTGCCCAATTGAAATAATTATTTCTGGTATGACTTAGTACCACCACTGGTTCGAGGAATTTGTCAACTCGAAAAATATTCGTGTTCATTTTTTTTTTAAATGAAGGTTCATTTTCGCATTTATTTGATAGTTTGGATAGTCGGATCGAGCTAAACTTTATTGAATTGTGTTTGGCCATTCGAATAACGTTTGTCCTGAAAAAATTAGAGTTGCAGCTTCTCAGATGACCGATATACGAAGAAATATGAGATCCTGGAGAGGTTCACTGTTTAGTGTTTGTCTCATAATAAGATAACGATTCCAGGGATAATATCCGGTAGTAGAGACTAGGTAGGACAAGTGAAACTACTGTTTAGGAAACACAGTAGTTTCACTTGTCCTACCTAGTCTCTACTACCGGATATTATCCCTGTTTAGGAAACACAGTAGTTTCACTTGTCTCTAGTCTCTACTACCGGATATTATCCCTGTTTAGGAAACACAGTAGTTTCACTTGTCCTACCTAAGTGTCTACTACCGGATATTATCCCTGGAATTACGAGATACGAAGCATAACGAGTTTATTCATTACGTGTGATCAGGTGATTGGCTTACCTGATCACGTGATAAGGTGACCCCGTTAACCACCCCGTTAAACATTATGGGAATCGTTAAAGCTACCCAATTAAGGTGTCTTGTCACGGTGTCACATAATCACCCAATCAATTTTGCTAACGAGATACACAAAATGCTTGATAATTTTGTCATTTCTAATCCGTTTCACATCATCTTTTCAGATCAGATGCAACATTTAATAATATACCGTTTCTTTAAAAAATTAGGCGTCCAGCATGTTTAGAGAGAACAATATAGGGTGTTTTAATATTGATTGGGCGTGGTCTAAAATATTCGAATTTTCAAATTTAGCGACGGAATCCTCGAACAAGTAGGTAAAGTATGCCTACAGTATCTGCAAAACAACAACCCTTAAATATAAAACACTGACTTTTGGCCCACCCTGTATAAGGAACTGAAATTAGAGCGATTAATTAGAGTTAATTAAAAAGATATTTTCACCATTGCAGTGACCATACTTGCAAGAGCGTAAAAATAGGGTTTGACCTAATAACTAAACAACCTGAAATCTGTAGACTTTTAAACCATGTTCGATCCCACTTAATCTGATGATTCTGATAATTTTAATGCCCAAGATGATCGCTTAGCTCCAATCAGAAGCTGAGATATCTTGAAATAAGTGTGATAATTGTTACTCTTAACCACATTTTGGTTCATACCAGAGTTATTCTCAGCTTCTGTATCTCTATCAGAAGCTGAGATAATTAATAGTGGGGATCGCGATATGGGTGCGGTCAAAAAGGGCGTGATTCCGAGAAATGCCCCACTGGTGAAAAAGTGTACCCGAGTAAATAGTGTTATTTAGGGTCATATAAGTCGGATTACATCGAGAAACTTAGCGGACGACGGACGTCCTAATGTGTGCGGGACTTTTGCCAGGTACAGGATTAAGAAGGGTTGGCAGGTTCTTGCTCCTAGGCCTTGTAACAAGGCCCTTGTTACAATCAAGTAATATGGTACAGTATAAATATAATATAATGTTTCTCTAGATATGCGACAAAGATGCGTTCCAAGAGGCGTACGGTCAAGGGACAGTGGATATGAGCTCGCACCCTCTGGATACAGAGAAACAGCACAAACTTCGACTGAGAGGACCCAACGGGAGCAAAGTTCAAACCAGTCTACTGTTATCTACTGTGCTTGAGAGAACTGATAAGAGTACAGCCACTAAACTCATGAAAAAGCGAGCTAAATCCTTTAGTAAGAAAGACTTCAAACGATCATTGTTGAAGGCTAGAACTTCAATGTCACAGCTTAGAGACAAGACTATGGATGGCTTGTCAAATTCTTCAAACCATCAATCAGAATCTCAGTCTATGTACTCTGGATCAATCCAAAGCTTAGACCATAGTTCTGCTGTGGAAACAATATCTCACAATGGAGCTTCTTCTGGGTCTTTTAACGAATCCTCTGATGTCAAACAGACAAACATTGATCAAGAACCGCCTAAGTTTAGGTTGCATATTCAGTTTTACGAGTGCGCAAATTTATGCGGCAAAGGATCTAAGCAGTTTTCAGATACCTTCGTCAAACTGAAGATTGGGGAACAGGAGTTTAAAACGAGAACAGTTAAGAAGGACGCAAATCCTAAATTCAATGAAACGTTCGAGTTTGATCTTTTTGATTTGACTGAACCTCTTCGAGTCAGAGTAAGTTTGGTGATAATATTTCGTATCTTCCCATAATATAATTTTGATTTATTAATATTTGGATTTATAATTATGGTTCTATCTAGTATTGGTAATGAGCCAGAATTATCTCTCGAAGCTACAAGCTACAAGCTACAAACGATTTTTATCAGGTTTACCAGATAAGTCGGCTATTTGACGAGATTTTGGGGACCTCAAAGATCCGCCTATCAGTTTTACCATTTGACACAGATCTGAACATCAACGAGTTCCCCGTGATAACTGACGAGGCACGTTTTAAATGTCATAACCCTACAATATCACTCGGTATTAAACTCTCCTGTTTGGCTAGTAAAGTGGTTCAGCAGCCCAGTGTACAGCCGGCTTATAGAAGAGATAGTACTCAGCCTCCAGCAGTGGAACAAGATTCTAGTTCACTCTACAGGTCTGTATCTAGTGATTTTCTTTGTAACTGTATTTAATTAGAAAGTTTCTATCTCTTTGCCATAATCCCCCTTTTAATACCTGTGCGACTCCTCCCTAATTTTAAAAAGACCAAAATAATTGTACTATTTCAGAGTCTACATCAATATGTTCCGCGGAGTCGACCTGCTCGCATTTGATGATACCGGAACTTCTGATCCCTATGTATTGCTCCGTATCGGCTCCATCCAACATCAAACAGACGTTATCTACCACAGTTTAGCTCCTACCTGGAACGAGAATTTCATGTTTAGTATCAACTCCCTGGATAAGGAAATGTATCTGACAGTTGTTGATAAAGATCCTGAGTTTGATGATATGATGGCTAACTTCAGAGCACATCTCAGTAACATTCCTCTCCAGGTAAGTTTAACGTGGAATTGTTTGTTTCCAGAGTAGCTGAGAGAAACATGTGAAGCCGAGGTTTAGGGAGAAATTATGATTTTATTCAGTTGCTCTCCAATCTAATCATATCATTAAATTTCAGCCATTTCTCTATTCATTTGTTTTCTTTTTGGTATATTTTATATCCTAGACACGCTGTGAGTTCGAGATAGACCTAGAGAACGACTCAGGACGACTTGAGTTCAGTGTTCTGATACAACGGGCTGAAGATCCAGTTATCGCGTCTATACCTTATGTTGGGTACTGTGCTGTCCCTATTGCTACTCTAGAGATCAAACCCATCGGTCCGTATAATTTTTATAGTTTTCATGATTTACATCCGCATTGGCAACCGATTTCAGTGCTTACACTTCTTATCTTTTCTTGTTTTTTTAAAGTTTTAGCACTACTTTCAGTTTTACTTGACCACTAGTAAGTAGTACTGGTTGACAGTTCGATTAAGATATGTAAGAATGTGTCCGCGCGATAAAAGTGAGAAATAAAGGTCGCCATCCTGCAGGACTAGCTCAGCTCGAGAAGAACCAAGTTAGGCAGAACTACCGTTTGGAAGTGTGTATCGGCAAAGAAACGTACAGTATATTCTACGAGGGACCCGGACAAGGGTCCTGGAGCGGCATTGATATTTACGACACTTATTTAGAGAGTGTCACGTTCAACCTCTACATGGTGCAGTTCGGACTGCAGGAGAAGCTGATGGCCAGTATCGAAGAGGACATTGGTAGTACCACTTCCTCCTCCAACTGTCACGTGACATTGGACATTCCTGAGATCAGCAACATGTTTCTTCTCTGCTTTAACTTGAAATATACCTCTTATGCAACAGGTAGGCAACCTGATTTTATGACTGTGTTGTGAAACGTCCTGACATTTTATTTTATTTTTATGAAGCAGATTCCAGGTCCCAATTATTTCACGTATTATGTATTAGCTGCAGATGATTGCTAGATGAATTAATGGTTAAACCAAAACTTATATATCCAGATTAGTTCATTAGCAGAATATTATCAGATTTAAACGATTATTCATCATGTCCAGGTTCCTGTTTGAGCCCGGTTGAGTACGATGAAGAGAAGAGTTTTGAGGAGATGACATTTGATGAGCTGGGAGATGCGCTGTCCTGCCCGTACAACTACGCTCTCTGTATTGACTCGCTAGTCTTCGAGAGCAACGGAGCATTTGGGAACGACAAACTAGTCGCTGTTGTTGGTTAGAGTTAGCTTTTATTTTGTTCTAGACCCGGTCTTAGGTCATCCTCTGACCCTCCTATTGGAATCTGTATTTTGTTTTGTGATGCTGTGATTTCCAATTACAAAGCTTATCTGTTCTACTTATACTTTCTAGGTTTTTGTTGGTTTACGAGACACAATTTTCCGTTAGCCCTATTGTTTTGAAATTAACGTTTAAGAGTTTTTTAAAACGACGTGTTTTTAGTGAAGGATATTCTAACATGTCCTCTGATTTAGACACGGAAAGAGTAAGCCTGAAGTCGGAGCCGAGCAGTGTTTCTGATAACGACATGCATTGTGGCTTCATATTCCGACTAGAGCATCTCCCCCGAACCGTTACCCTGAAACTCTTCAAGAGAACTAGCAACTTCTCAACTTACATGGGGAGTGCTGACTTTAGTATCACCAGTGGATCTGAGGGTGTATTGAGGGGAGATATGGTGCTGGAGACTGATAGTTCTACTATAAAACTAGCTCTCATATTCGATGTTATTCAGCATCTGCACCAGGTTACAAGTTTTTGTTTTCCCGGTTCACAAAGAATTTCAACAGTCAACCTCAATTTATTTGACATAAAATCAAACTTTAGTCAGTGAATCTCGCATTTAAATCTATTTTTAATACAATTAATTAATTTCAGGATATAATCAACACGATGACAACACCAAGTCTCCCGATTTTGAAGCCTGACGCGGACGAATTGGCTCTTCTTAATAACTTTAAGAAGTTAACTTATTGCTACATAACTCTTCAGATATTTCTTAGACACACCACTAGTATTAGGTAAGTGTCTCGGTAATAGTTTGTAATTTTCTAATTATAAACATAAATCAAAAGTGTTGCATAAATCATAAAGAAATCATTACACTTGATTGCTAACAGTAACAGTTTTGGCCGAGTTGCCATTAAAAAGTGCATTAAGTCTGTTATTAATAATCTGGCGTGCAGTGTTTGCCATACTCTTGAAATTTCTCTCAGTTCAATTGCGAATTGCGAATGTTGGTATCGTCCGTTTCTTGTCATGACCTCTTGCGGAGAACGAGCATCAAATTTTTATAAATTTTCCAAAAGTTCGGCACCTGTTTTATTGATTTCATTTTCTTCAAAAGCTGAAATGAAATATCTGTTATTGATATGTGTTTCGTAAATGTTACATAATTGCGGTGATTTAGAACTTTTTAGACGTGCTGCAAGAAATAATTCGTATCACTTAATTTTTGGTAGGTTTCCAAATACTGTAATTAATATACACAATCACTTACCGATGGTATCCCACTTCAGTCGCTCGAAATCAATATTTTTAGGTTTGTCACGAAGAATCTCTTCCGGTAGTACAACTTTCCCCGCTAGTATTAGTTTTATGTCAACATCTGCAGAAATCTTCCTAGTTTGCTTTACAGTTATGAGCCATCTGTACGCCACCATACGACGCTTGAGGGCAGCCCTGTAATCTTTTTCGTTCTGAAAAATTTGGCAGGAGTTAGCAAAGTTAACATAGAATACGCGGCTTATCTTACCTGATGAAGCTGTATGATGCAATTTTTGTTAATTTAAGCTAAAACTGCTTTGGTACAAAATTTTGAAATACCTCCTTAATTTCATGTTGTAGAAGTATCTTACCCGACCATCACGCTTGGTGCCATACCCTCCAACATCAATGCTACCTGTTTCCCTATCAGATTCTCCTTCATCCTCGAGTTCATCGAACGACTTGCTTCCTCCGTTGATTTTTCTATCTTTTTTCTTATTTTCATTACTATCTTTCGTTTCCTTTCCATTCTCATTGTCTTTAGATTTAGACGACTTCGGAGCATTTGACGATGTAATCGACATGTTCGTATACAGAAGATCGAGAATTCTATCTCGTGTAATAGAGGGATCTTCCTCCTTGATCTGGGAATCATTGTGTTTCTGCTCTCTTTTTCTCTGATTTTTGCTATCCGACTTTTCCTTCTTGGCATCTTCCTTTCCCTTTACTGTGCTATTTTTGTTTGAAGAACCCTTTTTGCTGTTCACACTCTTGAAGGAATCTTTTTGACGGTTTCGGTATCTTTGGTTGATTTAGAAGAAGTGCTTTTCTCTTCATTTTTAGTGACAACCTTAGGAGCATTTTGTATTTTCTCCTCGATTGAGTTATGCTGGGCTGACTTTTTACGCTTCTCACACGAAGATAGAGATCGTATTACGGATATTTCTTCATTTTCAGAGTATTCACTATCTTCATCCGACACTCTAGCTCTCTTATAATTCTTATATTTTCTTCGTCTGACTAACTCCAGCAATATCACCGTGGTCAGGATTATGCCAGCAAGAAGTCCTATGCCGAATTTCGTGATTTTCGATTTAGGCTCCATTTCCGTATGAAAAAAATTTGCTGTATCCGGCTCAGTCAATGTTGAAATGTAGTTGGAGATACGGTGACTTAAAGCATTGCCATCTCTTACTGTGCCCCGAAGGAATAAAACAAAGAAACTCCCTGGCGTTAATTGCCCGTTGAAGGATCCTCCGTAATGCTGCAGGATTTTTACTTTTGTTAATGATTTAAGGTTTTCGAATGTCATAATTTTTTAATTGCTTCAATTTCAATTTATGCTAGGTATCAGGTATGTACACGTACTTGCTCATAACAAACTTAATTTCTATGCAAATTGAGAATCAATTAATAATTTACATTGCTCTTCTTGCTGAGAATGAATAAAATGATAATCATAAACTAACCAGATTGTCTCCAACTGTGAATTTCCTGGGCAAATCTTCTCGAGCAAATCGAGCAGCGATGTAAGGATGGCCAGGAGTTGGTTCCTTTGTGTATGGAATGAAAGTCTGCCACGAATGTGAATCTTCCCTAGGAAGTCTTGGATAACCTTCGGAGTCCGTGTTTAACCTTAACACGACAAACTCGTAAAACGGAATACCTGACGGAAGTGTATCATGAGACAGTTTGATCGTGAAAGTTTTTTTTGTGACCTCAACCATTTCCCCATAAAAGTGAGGCATCCCAGCAAGATTCTGTTCTACAGTGATACCATTTCTGGTGGCTTTATTATCATGATCCTCTGGGTCACCCCTTTTATCTCCTGTGTCTACATTCTTATCTTCTGTGGTTTCGACCTTCTCGGAGTCAAACATTTTTCTAACAATCTCTTCATGTTCATGATTTTGGAGACCATCCAACATAATTTCGTCAATTTCTTCCTCAAACATTCCGTCTTTCCCTCCAGATTCGTGGAATTCCATGTTAGCCATCCCATTAACCAATTTTTCGATTTCCTTTAACTCTTCTTCTGGCGTCACTTTCCTATCCTGTTCACTTAGAGAAAATTCGTGTAACAGCAAAAATACGAATACTGCAGTTCTTGTCAACATAACTGTTGTTAAAGTCAGACGAAACTCAATAACAAACCGCTGACGAAATATAACGAAATGGAACCGCGCACAAATTGCGCGTGATTACCTCACCACGTGCACCAAAATTACCAACATAAACAAACTGGCGTATGCACGTGCGAGTGTCGTAGTGGCTTAGAGAACGTTGTTCGTCATGAGTAAGCTTTCAGTGGCACCACGCACTTTTCTCAAACATTCGACATTTTAAAGCTACTACTACTAGTACTGTCACAAAGTCTAGATAAGGATTTCAGCGAATAAAAGGTTCAAAATTCAATGCTAACATAACTATTTCAGGAGAATGGGAACTTACAAGAAGATACTCTTATTCCTGATCTCACTGTTCTGCGTTGTCAACGTTCCTGCAGAATATACTGAACTTACCCTTCCAGTTTTTATCTCGTTGTTTATTGTTATAGTCAGTTTTAGATTAGTCTGGAAACGGAAGCACTTATCAGAAATGAGACTTGCACTCTTGGAAGAAATCAATACGTGTAATGTTGATGAATCCATATTTGTCAGAACTTGCGATAAAACTGTTTCTAAGGTCAACGATTGTATGCAGAAGATAATTTACGTTTACTCGTGGAATAGGTGAATTTATAAAGCTGTAATTATGTATTATGTGTAGTATGATGTATATTATTATTACAAATATTTGATTTAAATGTTCACTTTTCAAAATTAAAATTGCCAACAAGATTGTTCATAGTAACACTTTTTCATTTCAGTCCAGTGGCAAGTACGATATTCCTGATCAAGCTAATAGCCCTAGCTTCCTTATTTATTCTACTTCCGGAACAGCTGTGTTTCCTCATATCCCTCATCATCCTCTTGTCTCATCGAACTCCAATCGATTTCTTTGTAAACGAAATTGTAAATTTAGCCAATCCGTTGAACGGAGTTCCTAATAATATCTGCTCTTAAATTTGAATCAAAATTTTATATTCTTGAAGATTTCAGAACTGTAAATTGTAATGTTAAATGTATGTACATATTTTTATGGTGTTACTGAAGGATGGACACATTGGTTTATGGTTCATCATTCGTGGTTAAAGCTAAACTATAAACTGTAGAAGAATTGTTTAGGTTTGTCTTTTTGATTATTTATTATTGAATTTGACGAAAAGAGTTGTTTCAAATGTTCACAGGTTCAAATTGCTCCAGTAATCGTAGTAGCACAGATCGGCAGATAATCTGCGAGAAAATTTTGTATTTAAATTTTGGAGGAAATTTGGTGCCAAATATGAAATAGGAAATTTCTAGAAGACCTATCTTTTTTGGGGCTTTTGAAAGTAAGAAAATACTGGGAATTTAACTGCGAGGAAATTTAAAACTTTCTGGATGTGGGTAAATAAAACAATTAGTCCTTAATTAAATAAAATTTCGATTTTCCACCCACACAATCGCTCAGCACTGACCTAGACACCTTCGAGCATTATTGAATTGAAACTGGCCCTTCAGTCCCCAACTTGAATTTTACCGTGTTAATACTCCTTTTGGAGGACTTCGCCGCTTCGACGCGCCGCTCGAACTAGCATTCTTGCTTCGCATCGACGATCTTGCTTCGCATCGACGATCGTTGCTCTGCTTCGCAGAGCAACGATCTCGACGGATTGACATCGTCAATCAAATACTCCTTAAAATATGCTCTTGGCAGTAGTCAGCTCATCGTATGGAATAGTAATCATAATCATTTTGTGCGGTAATTGGTTAGTACTTGGTGTTCGGCTGTAATCATGGTGTCTGGAACATGTACCGTTGTTTCAGTTTCCTCTTCTGAGAAAATAAATTATTCCTCATTTGTTGTCAAATTTGTTAATAATTTAACGGGTGATACTCGTAAAATATTTGTTCCAAATATTTTACCGTCGACGAGTTCAACTCGGCGCACGTCTTGCTAGGTTATAAACCTATAATTCATAATTGATAATATAATAAGGCCTCATTGCTCATTTTGCAAGATCACTATACTGTTATCCCAATTGACACACGTTGTAGGTTTAAAACCTACCAGGACGCGCGCCGAGTTGGACTCGTCGACGGTAAAATATTTGGAACAAATACAAAATATTTTACGAGTATCACCCGTTAAAACTGCATTTTACTTACTATACTGGGCGGCGCGGCGCTCAGCCTGTCATATAAATAGCCTGGTGTCCCCAGGTAAAACTGCACGAGAGAGGTATAACGATATAATACAACGTGTAGCTTACCTGAGGACCCCCGACCCCAGGCTATTATGTTCTTACTGGGCCGCGCTCAGCCTGTCATTCCGCCAAATCTTAATGAACATAATAGCCTGTCATTCCGCCAAATCTTAATGAACATAATAGCCTGGGGTCCTCAGGTAATTATGTTCATAAACATAAAGATTCGGCGGAATGACAGGCTGCAAGCGCCGCCCAGTAACGTGTAGCAAGCCCTATTTTACATATATTAGATGTCATTTGGGGTGATTCGGAATTGGGAATCAGCCTTCGAAAATATTACATTGATTGAAATTGGTTTCAACTGTCGGGGGGCCTTTTAAAAAAATCTCGAAGATCGAGTGTACTGTGTACTGTGTAAAGCTTGATTTAGCACGCTCGTTTATATTAATGTCCGTTTGGCATTTCAATTATGTCCGCGCCGTTCACGCAATGTTCATTCAATTACGTCCGATAAGGTAATATGTACAATTTGTTCTAATCGACTATATTTTCGGTTGTGTAAGCAGTAAGAGTACTAACATAAAGGTACCTTTCATTTTACTTTTCCTAAGAAATACGACTACGTTATCGGACCTTATTTGGACGGACATTAATTGAACGCTGGAGGCCCTAACGGTCAGCTTTAAATTAATTAATTTCCGTTCAAATAAAGTCCGTTCATTTAAGGTCCGTCCAAGTTAGGACCGTAAAATTTTTATTCCAAAATTTTTCCACCTTGAACTTTTTGTCCAGAATATGACAACTACAAACTATGAGAACTTTAATGTGCCGTAAGTTAAAGGTTCTCCTTGGTCTACCGGAGGCACAGAGAACTTTACTAGTAGTAGTATTATACAACATATATATGCTGTAGCGCGATGCACTACTAGGGCCGCGCGCGCATCCAATAATGAATAATGCTAATATCGCCACCTTATGCAGATCGGCGAGATGCGAAGGATTGACATTGTGAATAGTATATGATGTTTCCAGGGTAACTTTGGAGGACTTCGCCGCTTCGACGCGCCGCGCAAACTAGCATTATTGCTTCGCATCCGTCGTCGATCGTTGCTCTGCTTCGCAGAGCAACGATCTCGACGGATTGACATTGTCAATCAAGGGTCACTTAATTTGGTGGGAAAAGTTAACAAAATTATGGCACGCAACAACATAGTTCATGAGCGCGCTAGTACCCGCTAATAGTCAGTGTAATAATGCGCCAAGCTTGATTATATTGGCGATGTCAATCCGTCCGAGATCGTTGCTTTGCAAAGCAGAGCAACGATCGACGAAGCAAGAATGCTAATTTGCGCGGCGCGTCGAAGCGGCGAAGTCCGCCAAGCGCCAGCACAGAACTTTTTTCTCCGATTTCGATAAATTTGGTACCAAAATTTGTCTAAAAATGTGAATAAAATAAATCCACCGTGTAGCAATTTTCGCTAAAATGCTACACGGCGCTTGTTTTATTTGCCGCGCGTGCTTTTTTTTGCGCAAATTTTTATTTTTTGGCCTATAACTTTCACATTCCAGTTATTAACACATAATTATTATGGCATCGTAATCAGCTCATCGAGACAAAACTTTTAGTACTAATCTTTTAAGATTTAAAGGAAAATTATTTTCAAAATTTTTCAATCTGAACACAAGGTGTGAAATTTTGAACAAATTTTTGAAAAATTTGGTGCTTCAAATACTATAATTTTGGTACCAAAGGTTGCGTCTGAGTAAGCTCATTACGATACTGTAATAATTATTTCAAAATATTCAATATTTTAGGAGTCATAGGCATTTTAAGCACTAAATTACCCATTTTTCGTCCTTTGTACATTACTTTAATATTCTTATAATGCACAGGAGGCCCACATATAGCTCGACGTTATTTTGCTACACGGTGAATTTGCAATATTCACACTTAGAGGCAACTAGAACTTTTGTTACCAAATTTATCAAAATCACAAATCAGAGACAAAAAATTCTGTGCCAGCTCATGGCGCTTATTACATAGACTATAATATGACAAACTTGTTCCAGCCTCTTATCTAGATATTACGCTTAATCGTGTTGCCAAGGACATTTTCCGACGTTTTTATAGTTCATATTACTTTGATACATGTTTCGTATCCCAATATCATTCGGCGGGGCGCGCTTCGCGCCTGACGAGGGGCATGCAACGTATGTCAAATATAACTCAGGGGAGGTAATGGAACAGTGCTAGGAAAGCTCCACGTGATGTTAAGGTTTACCTAAAGTTGTTTAAGATAAAACCACTTCACGCCGAATGGTTGACATACGTTGCATGCCACTTTTCGCCACTTTTCACTTTTGGGATACGAAACATACTATCAACCGAATGGCTTGTAAAAGTTAAAACGCTGAAATGCAGGAACGGGGTAGTTTGATTTTTTAAAAAGGTTTCCATAAAGCTAGAAATCACTGATGCTTTAAGCATGGACTATTTCATGCACGAAAACCCATTTGATGAAGATGATATGTGATATTAGACACTGATCATGTACACATATTTTAACATTCTCACTGCTTAACGTCTGTTTTTCTTACTTACTGTATAAAAATGTATTTTAAAATCATTTGCTGAAATAAAAAAAAACGTCAAAAAATTTAATGTCCGTTCAAATAAGGTCCAATAAGGTAATTATAACTGACTGATCAGTGAATTAGCAAAGGGTCCACGATGTAGCTGAACCATAAAATCAAATATTTTACCTTCACACGTAACTTTTGAGCCCAATTACCTCCCCTGCCGTCATTTTGACATGCAGCCGACAACCCATATTGGTTAAACGTTTCCGTGGCATTGGATGCAGTAAAACATTCTGTGTTGTATTGGACTGCGAAGACAGAGAAGCCTTGTTCCTTGGCGAAGTTGTAGCAGTCTTCAATCGGTGTATTTGAGTTGAATCTGATGCCTCCAGCTATTGCTCTGGTAGGAGCGTCAGTCCAGCAGCCCAGACTCTGAGGACTGCATTCACCTTCAGGAGTTGGTTTCTCTGATGGATTTGATTATAGTTACAAGTTTCAATGAGAGCTTTAATTTGATATAATAATCTACAGAGTAACTGCACTTCTATCATCACAGTGCTGGCAAGCATGACCGTGCCTCTTATATTCACTATACTATTTACCCTCTTCACTAATATACCCCCTTTACTATTATACCCTCTTAATTGTTTTTCAGGCAATTAGTTTTTCGTCAAGTAGTTCAGCAGACATATTTTAAGTTCAAAACATTCTAATTCAATGTCAAAGATGACAGGAATAAGAAATAATTCTGTGGAGATTTTTAAGAATTTTGGGGGGGGGGGGGGGGGGCCAACCATATTAAAGTATATTAAAGTATATCCCCGGGTCAAAATCGGAAAAAATCCTACATTTTAATATACTTTAATATACCTACAATTAGTAGATTAGAAGATAAGCCATTTGCTAGTCCCCTGAACTCATACTTCATATATTTTGGCTCATAAATTGGTCAAGTATCAATATCTTTGAACAAGACTTACTTTACATGAAAGGTAAATCTAATCCATACATTAAATAAAACAAAATTTTTCACATAATTTTTTATAATGTAGGGATAGACACTCCCCATATTAAAGTATATTAAAGTATATCCCGGGTCAAAATTGGAAAAAAAACCTACATTTTAATATACTTTAATATGGTTCAAAATTTTAATGGAGAAAATGTAGGTATATTAAAGTATATTAAAGTATATTAAAGTATATTAAAGTATATTAAAGTATATCCCCGGGTCAAAATTGGAAAAAATCCTACATTTTAATATACTTTAATATGGTTGCCCCCCCCCCCCCCCCCCAATTTTACATAAAATACGCCCCAGCACTGTTATACGAAATTCGGTAAAAAACCCAAAATCGCCATATTCAGGTGCCTTAAAAACCATGTTAAAAT